ATTCGATCTCGATGCGCATCAAATGCCAAAGAGTTTTGTGTGAAAATTTGACAACGGACGTAACGGGGATTTAAAATCTTCCATATAAATTTTCTTCACATTTAACGCGTATCGAGATCGAATTCAACTATTCCAATTCGATATTGGTTCGTGCTAAGAGTACAAAATTTATTCACGACTAAGGACACGTGTTTTAAAATTCAATAGAAGTATGTTTAGGTAATTATTCTTGAGGATGGCCGGAGCCATTCTAGCTACTGATCTGGCTACTCCTATTTTGTGTCGATAGGCAAGAGAAATATATGAATAGGAAGAGTCGATGATTTTCATAAAGTACCAAAGCAAAAACCCTATATAGCATCACCAAGGGTAAAATTTTCACGGCGACCTCACCCGCATCCTTTATCGTTAACTTACTGCCGCTGTATCTTACTATTTATAAGCCAAACTCTTCTTTATGGCTGACGCATGCTCTTAAGGTGGTACAATACAATGAGAGGGGAGAGTAGCTCGAAAATTTCCTTAAACAAACTCTTTGATGTTGAAGTTAACATGTGAATAGATTTTTGAAAAAATAAAGCGAAATTTATAAAGTTTTCATTAAATTAATACTTGAGTACTATTATTGATGACAAGAAGTTTTTATTTAATAGTTTGAGTTGTCTTCAACGGTTTGCCACTATTTTGGAAAAATATTGAATAACCTAACAAAATTATTATCACTTTTCACTCGCACCTGTTCCCGACAAACAATACTCACAGTATCAGATCGCGGAACGACACTTTTTTTGATTTTTGCGGTTTTTGCACATACGAACCCCTGGATTCAATGTCTGGAAGTGAGAATGTGACCAATAGTAGGGGTATCGAGCGCAGCAAAAGACGACATCAGAGGGTAGACCGATATGTCTGCCAATAACATCTACCCGCAATTACTTCAGTTACTCCGTGATCATGGCGCTTGCAACAGTGCCGAAATATCGGAGACTCATAAAAAACAAGGTACATGGTAACAATCCCGTTAATAGCTATAATGTTAGTGACCATGATAGTTTAAAACAATAAACCTAACAAAACTATTAGAAGCTGTAACTAACAGTCACTAACCTCAGTATCATCGAACATTCAATAAATTGAAACCTCGATTTAAAAATGATGAAGTCCTTTTTATAAGTATATTTTTAAAAGCCAGCAAATCAGACTCGTTTCTTCTGGGATGCAAAGTATGGTGTGCGTGCCTCTCTCTACGAAACATATTTTTGTAGTTAAGATTCTAATGGAACTCTGTTTATCAGTCCGTCTGTCTAATTTTGTTTATGTTAATTGTTTCTTTCAGAGGGAAAATGCTAGATTTTCCTCTAAATATATTTTAATAATTAAGTAAGTACATCAAAGAGCGAATAGAAGCAAATTGAAAATAAATTAGTATTTTGATGTATTTATTTGTTTCTTAGGTTTTCACGCACATCACTCATTAAATAAAACTAGTTATTACGGGTTAATGCACGAAACTTTATTTATTTATTGACGTTTCATGCATTAGGGGGACCAAACTATTACATTAGATTTGATAAACCACAGATCCTTGCAGCTGAGCGGCGGTTCGTTCCTCGAATAATGCGCGAGGCTATTGAGATTAAAAAATATCCAAAATTCAATAGGGAAGATGGTTGGTATATATCACCAGCTTGGGAACCTATTATACAGGAGATACAATCCCAACCCCGAGCACACACTGCAAGACCATCAGATACTATTAGTTCTTTTTGTTTGCATAATTTAACATAAGAAGGAGATAGAAAGCCTCTCTTGAGTTTGTTTCGCCGGTTCTTCTCAGAAAGGTCTCCCAATTTTGGAACCGGTGGTAGTTTACGGTAGTTAGGGTCAAATTAATAAACTCAAAATTACAAAAAAGAATTTAAATAAAATACTTTATTAAGTAAATTTAATAATAAATTCATACATAGACAATAAAACTTTAAAAATCGAACAATGAAATAACCGAATGCTCAATAAAAGTCTTTCGAAGGTAGCTCGACAAATTAAATAAAAGTTTAATTCTGACGACGTAGCCTGTAAAGGCTACGAAACGTCAATAAATAAATAAAGTTTCGTGCATTAACCCGTAAAAACTAGTTTTATTTTATTTTGATGTATTCCGTTATTCCGTTTACTACTAACGGTTTTCGAATGCAAAATCATGACCGCAGTTAACCAAGTGTGCCTCTCTTGGGTTATTTTTTAACACGACCCTTGTAATGCTATCCAATCCATTAGACAAGGGGTGTAATAGTCATTTTGGATGCGAAATCGATGGCCGCGCTCAGCGCTGGCAATCATCATTTGTAGAGAAAATATGAACATCAAAATGGACGAGGCAGTGGGAAGCCTAGTTTCAATAACATCAACATTTTTGTGAACTTCTTGGCGGTGCACAACGATTTGGTTTATATATTTTTGTTATATGGGTAAATGTATCATTATTTTTTACGTCGCAATAAATGAAAATTTTATGAATACTTTTTCTCTTCTAACTTGCAGTACTACAATATTGACAGCGTTCTATTTTAAAAATGTAAATCGAATTATTTTCGGAATTATTATAACTAAGTTAATAATTTACAAGTTCTTTCCTTTTGATAGTAGCATCATAAATAATGCATTTGTTTAGTAGGTACGATATTTTACGCTGGCGTAGATTTGTTTGACTTCAATATTTTCTGCTTAGCGCTCGTTCCGTTGGTGAATTTCAATCTAGAAAATGGATGTAGTTTTCAATTATAGTTTCTATGTAAGTAAAGGCTTAAAAAGAACTTTTAGCGAATAAAATTACATAGCGACCGATGTATATAAGTTGGTTATTATTCAATACTTGCTTTTAAATTAAACTTTTGTATTGTTAACCAAGTAGAGCGACTATGTTTGCGCATTACCTTCCTGAAAGAGAAAAGGTTTTGTTTTTATACGGCGAATAAAAAAACTATCTAATAAACGATCCACCGAGCCTAGCTTGCCTTAAACCAGCTGACTACGAATGAGATGTGGCTCAGTGGAGAAATCCTACTTTTCTGTGAAAAGATTCAGTTATTCCATGGATTTTTTTATGTATGTATTACGCACTGTTATACTAGGTAGTATTATATACTATGTAGATATAGCTTACTAGATGACTAAACATGGTAAGCTTCATTTAAATTGAGAAATAAACATTTTGTATTTGTTGGCTGTAGACGTTGTTGATATAACTCAAATTACAAAGAATTTTTGTTGTTTGTTTGAGTAAGACTTTGAGTAGATTGCTTACAGTTAAAAAACAATCCAAACTCGGTTGCAATTCAATGAGGTGTCGTTTATGTATTAAAAATCAACGGTCACGCAACTTTCTTTGAAATGTGTTTTTCGTAGAAAAACATTGAAGTGGCATTGCCTTTTCCTCATTTTAAGCGGAGATGATAGGAAATTTTATCGACTGTTGTCAAAAAAGTTATGGTTATGTTTGCGTTCCATTTCATCTTCATTTTAACGGCGAGATTATTTCAGATAAATATCGGAAGCATTTCTTAGAATTTTTATGTATAATATTTCAAATAAAATCTATTAAAAATAAACTTAGAGGAAGTTTTTCAAAATATGCGTAATAATGTTTTTTTACCTATGTACACGTGGGTAATAGAAACCATTAATTTAAATAATATTATACTGAATGTGAGGTAAGACTTTGAGACATTAATTGAATTAATTTTGCAATTGCATATTCCATGGAATAGTGGTTGTTGTGAATGTCAATATTAGTTGATTATCAGCAGGGGTTTCGAATATTAGCATATCGTCGGCAATGTTTTTTTATTGATTTTGTTTTAATTCTGATATTTAGGTGGTGACAATAATGATGCTTGTCGACGGGGCTTAGCTCAGAGGAATACAAACACGGGTTTATATTGTTTTTTCCCTTCAAATAAAACCAGTGAAGGATTATCCTATCATACTTTATAAATTCTAGTTTTCGGAATGGGATTATTTATTACCAATACCTCTACATTTTGCAATTTAGTAAAGAAAAATAAATGAATATTTCCAACACTCACACCAATTAGCCTAGCCCCAAAGTAAGCACTTTAGGCTTGTGTTATGGGATACTAACATCCATGAATGGGTTACAAATGCTCGTATTCATCACACAAACATTTGCCCCCACCAGGATTCGAACCCAGGACCTCTTGAGTAGGTGACACCACGAAACCCGGCGTACATACCACTCGGCCACGGAGGTCGTCATAACAAAAAAAAATACAGTTTTACATATTTTGAGATTTTCACCTGAGCTGACAGTGAGGTCAATTACAAACGAGCTTTACGTGTTTGAGCCAGTGATACTCTTCATATGTTTACTAGTGCTAATCCTATTAGAAGAAAAACTAGCAAAGGATTAACATACTATTACCATAAAAAAGTAAGTCAGGCCTACAACATGAGTTTAAGTAGAAAATTGCGTACTAAAGCCGCTTAAGCAAGATTCAATACATTATTTAATTAAGAAAAATTTTTACTAGTCAAAAATTGCATGTGGACCAGGTATCAGACGGGACTCGAACCCGCACCCTCTGCTATCCGGACCGCGTGAAATTTCTTGTAGTTAATGCAAATGTCAGTTTAATGCTTAAAAAATAAAACTATATTTAGTATTCAACTTATTTACAAAGGGATTATACTATGTTTTTTTTCGTTACATTTACCTGTGCAATAAGTTTCTATAGCTCCTCGACCCTCGTTCTCCTTGACCAGTTCCCTGTATCGTTACAAAGGGAATATGCTATGTTTTTTTTTCGTTAATAAAACTATATTTAGTATTCAACTTATTTACAAAGGGATTATACTATGTTTTTTTTCGTTACATTTACCTGTGCAATAAGTTTCTATAGCTCCTCGACCCTCGTTCTCCTTGACCAGTTCCCTGTATCGTTACAAAGGGAATATGCTATGTTTTTTTTCGTTACTTTTACCTGTGCAATAAGTTTCTGTAGCTCCTCGTTCTCCTTGACCAGTTCCCTGTATCGTTCCTCGTCGGCGGGGGCGGTGCCCGAGCCGGACCCCCTGCCGCTCTCGGCCCTCTCAGTCGGGTGTCGGATCACTTCGATCACCTGCAGCGATAACACATCTCAGGCGTTTGCTACACTACGTTACTTACCTAGTAACATACAACCTTTTTTTTATGTCTGGGAAATGGTTTACGCATCCTTCGACAAAGAAGAAGATATGTGGAAGAAGGTATGTGGGACTCCTCCCTGTCCACTTCAGCCAGCCCTAAGGCTCGTTGAAGTGAACAGGGCCCTACCTACGCCCTGAAAAGGGCCACTAAAAACCGGACAATACAATAAAACCGGTCACCTGGTGCGCATTCTGAGGACCGCAGTCTCCCCCAATGCGCGTCAGGAGTGCGGGTGATATGCGGTACCCTGTTCGATTGGCCGCGCACCCGCAAGGTCGGTATCATACTACCTAATACTTGACACATTTGTAGTGCAAAGGTAACAAATGTGCGTCACACTACGCATCCTACTACCTAATGCTGGCACTTCCTATGACTATTCGTATTTGCAATTTGTCATCCTGACAGCGGGTTGTCCTTATCATACTCTATGGAGAGTGAAAAAGAGAGACTGTTGTCACGTTTACAAACAGCAAACCGGCATTGTATTTGACATTCTAGGATAAAACATACACTAAGCATCATTTGGTAGGTATTCTTTTTACTTAATACTTGACGTACATTTGTGATGCGAGTGTACAAATTGCACCAAATAAATTACCTGCGTACCATTTATTATTTTTGTCGCATCAGCTGTTCGCGACTGGATTCCACTTACTGTAAGGATGTAATTATTTCTGAGTCTTGTTTAAAAATACTTTTAAAAACAACTGTGTGATTTATCTATATGCTAAGATCTATCTATATTCCTAGTTCCTTCTTACATTAACTTGCAATACAAATATATCTGAAAAATTCCACGATGACTCGTGTTCATGACAAACGTAGCATATTAGTTATCTGTAAGTAGCGCGTGATGTATGAAGAGACCTTATACTCACTTCCCGTATTTTTCGCAATCACACACACACGCACACAACACACACAGTTATTTCTAAGGGTCGGTGGATGTAGCACTTTATTCATCTGATACTATCTTTATCTGACGGAATAAAAGGGGCACTTTTGAATTGATTATATACCTTTAAAAAAATGTCATTGGGTGATAAGATCTGAATAGACTTCATAGGCATTTATTTATCTGTTAATAAATACACTGCGAATTTATGAAAAAAAAGAAGATTATTCCAAGTTTGTTAAGTGATGTTTCAAACTATGTATTTCTGCAGAACACAAATCCACCTTCGGATCAGTTTTATGACCACAACCCATGAAAATGTTTCGGAACGGTATACAGAACTTCCGTCGTATAACGTTGTGGCGTTGGCAGAGCTGAGAATAAACGGTGTAAAGACATAACTAAAACTTCAAAAAATGTCACCACATTATTATGTAACTGTCAAAAATAATGTTCCACCCATAGATGAATGATTGTTTACATTACAAGATTATATAAAATATCAAAACTCGTAGATATATTTTGTTTTGTTCTATCATTTTTACAAAAAATAAAATAAACAAAATAATAAATAAAGTATTTCCTTATGATCCTTCAAAAAATAGAACGATGGACTGAGGTTTTATGGGTAGTAAACCGTTCCTATCTTTTTAAACCACTGACTCACGAGATCGTTAATTTGTGTGGAATCAACTGAAGACGAAGACTCAGTTAAGAAGTAGCCCTTATCTGTTGTCGTAAATTGTATTTAATGGCGTTTGTACACTGTGCTTTGGAACAATTTTGTTTATCCGTTGTGGCTGTCCATGCTGATTGCGTACTCTTAAAATTGACTTTTGATTTACAATGCCAACCCAAGTTGTAAATGGGAACTCAGATCTATCAGACATGGTGCCATGACTCCAAATATTGATTAGGCTAAAAAAATATTATCTCTTAATTTTTAGTGATTTTGTTTTTAAGAAGTCGGCTTTTAATTTTTTAAATATTTGTAGACTATTATTTGTCACCCAAAAGAATAATTAAAACATATGTTTTTTATTTATCTACATACCATCCTACGGTTCTGCAGTCCTCTAAAGAAAGTAATACGAACACGTTGAATTGCATTAAAGAAAATAAAAGTAAGTAAGTTGGTATTGGGAAACTGAAAGCTAAACAAAATAAATGGTAATAGGTGACAGATAAAGTGGTCTCGATAGCACTTGAATGGCGGAAACCCTGCCACTGACTGAGCGGAAAGAGCTGACTGGAGTTTCCTGATCCGTCGTTACGTTGTGATGATTTGATTTGTGTCTACGGCACGCTATAGGTGCCTACTAGGGTTAATTTGAAGCTCGATGTTGCCGGCTAAACAAGAAATATTGATGGTTTGTGGATTTAAGAAACGACGATGGAGCAGTTTTTGAGATTGAATTGCGACTCATAATGATATAACATTTACTTTTTTTTTTAACAGTAGCTATGCCAGCGACATCGTTCGCACTGATGTTGGAATATAACACCGTGTCGTATGTAGGTGGGTAGGTGACATGATTTTACCGCTGACTGAGAGGAAAGAGCTGACGAGTTTCTAGACCGTCGTTACGTTATGATGATTTGATTTATGTCTACGGCTATAGGTGCTTACTAGGGTTAATTTGAAGCTTGATGTTGCCGGGTAAACAAGAAATATCGATGGTTTGTGAATACTACATGCAATGTCTGCTAACTTTATCTCGTAGGTAATGTAAGAAGTATATATGTACCTATACCATTTAAATGCTCCAATTTAAAAGAAGACTTTATTTAGTGGCTGTTCGTACTCTCGTATGTAACCGTAGCTCTCCCTGACATCAACAAACGCTACTCGTTTGTTTACCTGCACGGTCGCCTGTCAGCAGATAGAATGTAACAAAGCCCGTGGCGTCCCGTGTAAAGTTTAATTCGCGTTTAACCCTGGCTAAGCTCGCTGCTTTAGCGGTAACACGAATCTCCGCAGCTGAATTGATTCGTCTCTTATTTCACCTATTTTCTCTGTCCTCGGTAAACTCCGGTAAATTTGTTTCGACTTATTGCAAGATTAATGATGGCCAGGATTGTCGTTTACAACATTTCTTTCTGTCAATTGTGGGAGTAAGGTTTGTGGTAGTCATGGCATTAATGATCATTCATTAAAGGGGTTATATTCTTTTGAAGAGTATTTATCACGTTTTATTTAAGTTAGGCAAATGAGAGGCAACAAGTAATGTTAAACAAAAACAGAAAATACAACTGTTTTGATTGTATAATACGTTTCTGCGTATTTAAAACTAAATCTGGTCCAATTTATTGAAGAAATATATTTGTCGAATTAACGGCATTCAGAAATAATTAACTGAAATTCAGTAAAAAAAATCTTTTTATTTCTTGAACTAATTGATGTTAATGAATCATAATTGCTTTACAAAGAAACCTTTAGAAGAAGTTAATTGATACTGTATAGATTTTTACAGTCTTTATTGAAGTTAAAGTTACTGCATCATCTGTTTTAATGGAAGGCCATTAAATTAGTTCGTGTTAAAATATTTTACATTTAAAAATAGGGCGAAATATTAAATCGCTATTGGGTTAAGGGCAAAAGCAAATTTCAATTGCAAATTTTCTTGCGATCACAGTACTAACCAGAATAGCTTACAACAGAGAGGCGAAAATCTACACGAATGTGGTTAGATTTATTATAGCACATAGACGCTTGAAAAAAATTGTAAGCGCGCCATACTAAGGAAGCAACAGAAGACGATCGCCAGCGACACGAACGTGAAGGCGGCATCCTGCTGGTTTGCGATTACTAGCGTTACTGGCGCCGTCGTCAGGCACAGCACCACGACGTTGCACATAGATGCTCAGGTCAACTAAGCGCGAGTCGTTTATCTGTCTTACTTTCATAAAGATGCTTGACACAAACCACTCACCTTAGGAACAAAAATGAGCGCCATACTGAGGAAGCAACAGAACACGATCGCCAGCGAGACAAACGTGAAGGCGGCGTCCTGCTGGCTCGCGATTACCAGCGTCACAGGCGCCGTGATCAGGCACAGAACCACAACGTTGTAGATGCTCATGCCGACGTAGCGCGAGTCATTTATCTGTCTCACTTTCACCGATCGCGTCTCGTATGCCAGGAACAGACCGAACACTAGCACCAATCCTTTGTATCCGTACATCACTCCTGCAAATAAATACTTCGTTAATATTATCTTCTCTTTTCAAATTAAGGTTTTCTATTCGAATATTTTCTTCCTTCACAGGTAAATTAACATTAAATGTTCGTTTGTTCAAAATAGAAAATGTTCTGAAGATTTAACTGATCGATTTATAAACGCGCATTTTTTCGTTATTAAATGAAAGCCTCACATCAACAGGTAGGTACGGAAAATAATGCTGGGGTAAGGGAGGTTTTTAATGATTACAAACTTTTTGATGTGTAACATCTTTCCTCTCGCTTTCGTGCAATTTCTGGGAGTGATTATGAGAAGAGAGACGGCAGTGTGTAACAGGAAGTTTCGGAAGCGCGCGCTACTTGATTTTAGAACATAATGTTTAAATGGCTTATTCCTTTTGTAGAACATTTTATTTCTTTTTTTACTAATATAAAGTGAGGTTTCAAATGTTACACATCATACGCGACTACTATAAGGCTCGCTCGTTTTTTTTCTAAATTTGTTATAAGTAAGTAAGTAACGTTTATATAGACTGTTTTATTGCTTTTTAGACCAAGCTAGTATGTTATGATAAAATGATAAAAAAACTAAAAAAAAACGCTTCAATAGCAAATTGAACTAAAAACCAGAAAATAATTTTTAATTATTGACATTTTATTCAACAGCGAAAAGTGATAAAAGCAAAAATAGTTTAACTGTAAAACAGCGTGTGGACTTCTGAGTTAAATTGATGTATTGTCATCCGTCTTTAATACGTGTCCAAATTTTCTAATCAATTAGACCAGTGACCATTTGTCAAAATTTCTATATTAGTCCAGTCGGAATAAACATGAGACCTATTCTAAGACACCAGCGCTTAGCCAATTTTTTCCTAGATAGTATAGACCCCCACGAATATGCCCTCCATTTGTCCCCGCTAGAACCCGTGTTTTGTAGCCAGGAAAATTGTTTAAACAAAGAAAAACCGGTTTTTTTGAGTTTTTTTGCTTGTAAACGGGGATTTTGAAAATTTTTTTGAATCAAAGTTGTTCATTAGCTTGCCCTCTACAAAATCAGTTCTATGAAAAAATAACGTGAGATTGTTAGTTTAGCAGTAAATTGCAATTATGTCGGTTTTACGTTTGCAACAATTCAACATGTTATAATAAACATTTTGATTTCTAAAGTAGTTTATCATGTGGGTAACGCCACTCCCAAGAGAGTCATGTAAAATTTATCGACCTGTGTCGCAAACTTTAGCAACAATTCTCAATCTCCGAAAAAAAAGTACTTGCCTGTCCCGTCTTTCCCAGAAGGCGCACAGCGGGGAAAAAAATTCAGGTGATTCGATTCACCAAGAATTTTGAGGAATCGATCGAGTAGAAAAAAATCGTTAGTAAAAATGTTCGTTTTTGGACGATTTAAATTTTTTTTAAAAATTGACGTAGAATATTTTTTTTTAAACTAATGTATTTTTCTCTCCTCAACTCGAATATACGATTGAAAATTTAAAAAATTTAGTTTATTTATGTACAGAAATTATTTACAAAACTATTAACTAAAATTCGATTACAAGACTGCGTTGTATTCTATATTTCTAATTAAATTAATTTCGTCCTTTTTTCTTCCGGTTCAAAATCGGAATTCTCAGAGTATATTAGTATTATATATATATATATATATATATTCAGAATAGTGTATTCGAGTTGAGGAGAGAAAAATACATTAGTTTAAAAAAAAATATTGTACGTCAATTTTTAAAAAAAATTTAAATCGTCCAAAAACGAACATTTTTATTAACGATTTTTTTCTACTCGATCGATTCCTCAAAATTCTTGGTGAATCGAATCACCTGAATTTTTTTTCCCGCTGTGCGCCTTCTGGGAAAGACGGGACAGGCAAGTACTTTTTTTCGGAGATTGAGAATTGTTGCTAAAGTTTGCGACACAGGTCGATAAATTTTACATGACTCTCTTGGGAGTGGCGTTACCCACATGATAAACTACTTTAGAAATCAACATGTTTATTATAACATGTTGAATTGTTGCAAACGTAAAACCGACATAATTGCAATTTACTGCTAAACTAACAATCTCACGTTATTTTTTCATAGAACTGATTTTGTAGAGGGCAAGCTAATGAACAATTTTGATTCAAAAAAAATTTCAAAATCCCCGTTTACAAGCAAAAAAACTCAAATAAACCGGTTTTTCTTTGTTTAAACAATTTTCCTGGCTACAAAACAGGGGTTCTAGCGGGGACAAATGGAGGGCATATTCGTGGGGGTCTGTACTACCTAGGAAAAAATTGGCTAAGCGCTGGTGTCTTAGAATAGAAGTCGGTCCAAATTATGGCTATTCCGACTGGACTATATTGCCACGGATCACCATTATAAATAAATAAATAATTACCACACTCACACCAATTAGCTTAGCCCCAAAGTAAGCACTGTAAGGCTTTAGTACAGTCAATCTGTAGGTTGAGTGGTGAAAAAAAAAACCTAAAGGTAAGTCTTGTTTTTTCTGTTGCCAAATGACGTCAGTAAGCCACTTTGGCGATGGGCATGTTCAACTCGTAGGCGTTTTTTGAAAAACTCAATAAAACCGTCAAAATTTTTTTGAAACGCATTTTTCTTATTTTGTATGCATTTTAGAAACTTTTTTTTCGACCATAATTGTAGAGGGCATTGAGTACTACAATTTATGTCATTGTTGCAATCTTGTACAACAAAAAATGCACATTGTAGGTGGCGCTAAAGTCTCAAAAAATTGTTTTTTCACTTTTTCACCCTGGATATATCATTTTAATGGAAAACTTTAAATGGAAAAGTTGTTCCGTACATAATTACCAACAACTTTTGTATAAGCAATTTTTTTGTATTACTTACCGTTTTCAAGTTATAAATTGCGCAGGTATGAAAAATCCATTAGAGCAGTTTTGGGCAGTTCAAGTACACATTTGCAGTGCACATTTCAATGTACGTTTTTACTATTTTTTTTTTATTTTTTTCATGTTTTACTATTTTTTTTTGTTTTTCAATCATGCAAAAAATTAAAAAATAGTAAAACGTACATTGAAATGTGCACTGCAAATGTGTACTTGAACTGCCCAAAACCGTTTACCGTTAAATTTATTATGTATAATTAAATTGGATATAATACATAATAAATACTAATAGTACATATAAAATTATATTTTATTATATAAACATCCATGACTAAGGTACAAATGCTCGTATTCATCATACTAATATTTGCTTTCATCGGGATTCGAATTTTATCCCAATCGCAAAACAAAAACTTTTGGGGGGAAGTGGGGTTATGTTGTGGGGGGTCAATCAGTTTAAATATTTTAGTGTAAATTAATTAATTATTTGAGTGTAATGCAGGATTCTCTCTGATGTAAGCAGATTACATTTTAAATTGTTGTTTTTACCTACGCCTAAACAAACGAAGGCAAATGAGTGCCAGAGGACGTTACAAGACAGAGATTTATAAAGTGTAATTTATTGTTTCCGTGATTTAAATTACCTCAAAGTAAAATTGTTCTTTTTTATTTATTGCCTTTGGAGCTTCACCAGATGGCGATTGGGGCTGTTTAATTTTTTAGTAGCAATCACTGTTCAGGCACTCATTGTTATTGAAGCATTAAGCGATTATATTTGGGAAGTGCAAAGTTTTACTGTCTACGAATTGACAAATCGGAGAAAAACATGAACACGAAAATAGTTATAATGCGATCGTAAAAATGATGAAGCCTTTATTTTTCGAACTTTTGTAACTTATAAGTGATTGAAGGTAACTGTAGTCATTCCAGTATTTCCAGTAATGAGTGTAGTCATAATTGCTTTTGTATTTCCCTATATACACTCGACTGCAAATAAACTGGGCCAACCGCTAGTACCTTGGAACTCTAATTCGATTTTTTCAAAAAGTATAAAACTTATAACTATTGAAGCTATATCTACAGAAAGTGTGTTTCATAATTATCAATATGAATAAAAATTTATTCTAAAGGACTGTCAACTTACTTTGTAATCGAGCAAGAACAGCAATGCTAACAATTTACATTTTTTTTTGATAAAGTCGCGATTATCGCTCTTTTTTTATAAAATGAAGATAGTCTGATACTTCTTATCATTTCCTTAGTTTTTCTCCATAGTTTTCTCAGTCGTGAGTATTTTTACTTCGTTCGTTACTTCCGAATACCACAATTTGAAAACGATTCTTCCTTGGCTTTTTTTAAATAAAAACTTAATTAATTGATTAATCTCAATAAATTCTAGTTTTTTTTAAGTACCGCGAAACGCACTTTCTGTAGTTATAATTTTGATAGTTGTAAGTTTTATACTTTTTGAGAAAATCAAATCAGAGTTCCGTGGTAGCAAGTGGCCCAGTTTATTTGCAGTCGAGTGTAGATCGAGATTTATGCACTGTGTGAAACGGGGAAAATTTTCCGATGAAATTATGGCAATATGTGATCGTATATAATATTTAAATATTGTTCAAAATAGAAGTCATTGCTTGGTTACTGCAAGGTAAAGTACGCCGGTCCAGTGCAATGGCTGAGTTGACACAGCTGGAAATAACGGCCTAATATGCCTTCCAAAGCAGGAAGGTCGTCGAGTCGTTTTGGTCACCAATCCTATGACCGACCTTTGCCAAAGCAGCTTAAATTCCACGATCATAGGGCGAACGTGCTCCTCTTTTATTTAAGTTTATTTGCTTATAAAAGTATTAAAGGGTTGTTGGTGAATTGCTAATATACGAGTACAGTAAATATATGGACACTTTCTTTGTAGGTACATATCACACCTTTGTTTCGTAAAAGATTAAGGTTACGTCTGATATCTCAATAACGAAAAACCAATATATAACGGCCAGTTTCAATAATCAAACTCCAGTAAAAGGTAGGCCTATTCGGGCATTGTTGATAAGATATATTTATTATTAAAACTTTAATCTGGTGCTAAGAAATGGAACCAGATAATTACCGAGCCAAACAGCGTTGTGTTCACTTTCGCAGTTTCTGATCGGATGTGGACGTCGTCGTCGTGATGTCTCGGCACTTCTAGCGGGAACACTTCTACCGTCAGGACAGGATCCCGCAACTGCCAGGCGGTCAGTAAAGTAACGTCCACGGCTAGCACACCAACCACTATAGGGTCTAACTACCAGCCGTGCATTTAACTTACCGAGCCAAACAGCGTTGTGTTCGCTCTCGTAATGTTCCAGTTCAATTCTGATGTGGACATCGACATCGTGATGTCTCGGTGCTTCAAGAGGAAACACCTCCAACGTCCTCTGTAAAGGATTTCGCAACTGCCTGGCAGTCAGGAATGCCACGTCCACGGCTAGCAGACCGCCCGCCATTGTGTATAGCTTCTAGCCGTGCATTTAACTTACCGAGCCAAACAGCGTTGTGTTCACTTTCGCCGTGTTCCATTTCGGGTCGGATGTGGACATCATCATCATGATGGCTCGGTGTTTCTAGAGGGAATACCTCCACCGTCCTCTGTAAAGGATCCCGTAACTGCCACGAGGTTAATAAGCCAAGTTCACGGCTAGTAGACCAACCACCGTAGTCTCAAGCTTCCTGCCGTGCATTTAACTTACCGAGCCAAACGGCGTTGTGTTCACTCTCGCAGTGTTCCAGTTCGGGTCGAATGTGGACGTCGTCGTCGTGATGTCTCGGTGCTTCCAGAGGGAACACCTCCACGGTTCTCTGTAAGGGATCCCGTAACTGCCAGGCGGTCAGTAATGCCACGTCCACGGCTAGTAGACCGCCCACCATAGTATATAGCTTCCAGCCATGCATCCGTTTCTAAAACAGAATGAGCTACGTTAGTGATCAAATGAAAGAACAGCCTACAAATCCATAAATCTCACCCACCAATTTATGTTAAGTGTGAAATTTTCTCGATCGATTGTGAAATATTATAATAAGCAAGGTAAAAATCTGAGTTGGGCAAATTAATCGGTTTTGGATGAGCTACTTGACCTGTTACTTGTTGCTGAATGTACTATTTTGCGTGGTTACATGGTTATGGTGGTATTGATAATATCTTTTTTTTTTTTTTGAGTCGAGAAACTTTATGGTACAGCGACTATGAACTTGATGATGGAACGACAAAATACCATTGAAACAGAAAAAGAAATTTAAAAAGTTTATTACATTAGGTACGAAGGAATAAAACATAAGTACAAAAGCGCAATAAAATGTTTTCGAAAACCTTTTAGTACTATATCCGGATTTTATGCCTCTGAGTAACAACGGTTCTTGACGTTTTAGTCGAATTCCAACATACCTTTCGCGTAGGAATGCAAATTTACAGACTTTCCTTTTCTAGAATTCATATACCGGTATCCCGATTAATGATTTTATTTCGGTCTGTGATCTCAGATGCCTCATCTGTGCAATAATAAAAATATAAGAGAACGTATTTTAAAATTCAGACAAGAAATAATTTTGTTATTAAATTTTCTGCTCGTAAACGTGCACACACCCTATTTTTCTAATAAATTCTAGACCTCATATTGTCATACCGGGACTAAATGTTTTTCAGCATCGGTAATGGTATATTGGTCCCCATGGGCGTGTGCCGGGAAGGGGTGTATCGAGCATTGTTTTGTTTATGGCGATGGTTTGGCATGCAATAAAACCGCACAGAAAAAAAATACAATTTGAATAAAATAAAACCACCCAATTTAAGTCTGCCTATAAACATAAAATTTTAAATGCAGCTGCGGCTACACCCACCGGCCATCAACACACAGTGCCACCGCGGCATTGAGGCAAAAACAACAGCCGCAAAGCATCACGTCATTAAGGATGCATACAATATCTTCGAGTAGATCTTGGGCTTGGTTGTGTCTCGATGTTCTCTCTACATTTTAGTAAACATAGCGCCATAAGTCACGGAGAACCTCTCGTCGCACAGAGGCCGAGAAAGTGCTGCGGCTGCATCCAGCGGTCAGTAACACCCAGCCCCACCGCGGCGCCGAGGCAAATATAACGATCACATACCATCACGGCATTAAGAATTCATACAATACCTTCGAATCGACCTTCGGCTTGGTCGTGTGTCGATGTACTCTCCAGACTTTGGTGAACATCGCGCCATAAGCCATGGAGAACCCTGTGGCGAGAAGCCAGGCTCTCGCCGCACAGAGACCAGGAAAGTGCTGCGGCTGCACCCAGCGGCCATCAACACCCAGCGCCACTGCGGCGCCAAGGCAAATACAACAGCCACAAAGCATCACGGTATTGCATGCGGGGTGCGACCATTGGATAACTCTGCGAAAATGGAAAAAATATTTTTAATAAACTAGCTTCCGCTCCTAACTTAGTCCGTGCTAAAGTTACTTTTATTACCACAGGAACCCGAAAATTTTCCGGCTTTAAAAATTTCCTATGCCTCAATCCAGGTAATATACAGGTGCCGAATTTAATCTTAATCCGTTCAGCCATTTTTGTCGTGACTGAGTTACAAATAAACATATATACATACTTTCACATTTATAATATAACTAGAACTAGCCATCTATAATTAAAAAATCTGCTCACTTTTACCCCCTTCAAGTCAAATTTTCACGACAAAAAGTAGCCTATAACCGTCTTAACAGTCACATCTATATTTTTGCAACATTCATCAACTGAATCAGCGCTTTAGGCGTAAAAGTTTGGTGAAAGTGTAAAAAAGAAACAAACTCACTTTCACATTTATAATGTTAGTTAGGATTACCTTACATTATTGTTGATATTCATCTTCATAAATTTAATTTTCAAGATTAAAATATTCTGATAAGCCAAAAATATTGTGAATCTCAATATTACTTGAATGATCTAAATTATCTAAATAAATAAACATAGTGCTGTCATTAAATTCACAATACACTCTGTAACACTGAAATTGATTATATTGGTAGCTGTTGAGATTTTAGTGGTACAGGTTTTATGTAAATGCTTCATCGGTTAAATTTGACGAGTTTCTTAAGCGCCTGCTCTACTTATAGCCAATGGATATCCTGAATGGGTGTTAGGGTAAATATAGAACGATCAAAATTAGCTTTCAATAGGTCAATTTAAATAAAGTATAATTTCATTTCATTTACTTAATTCACAATTAGCCTCAGCTTTTACGCTTCGGTTTAGGGAGTATGGAATTTGCGAGAATAGGAAATGTCAAGTCCCATTATACAGGGCGTCCCACGGCTACCTCACACGGAGGGAAAGTATATTAAATATTGAAATTAGGATATTATACTTCTGTGATTCGCCCTTCGAGATTACATTGACACACTTGTAGTAGCACGCATTATGTGCTGCCATCGTACACAATTTTAGAGCAACATTAACCTTTGCCTAAAAAAATATAACAAAAAAAAATATAAAATATGCGTTCGCACGGGGGTAACTCCACATATTCATACACGTTTTGTGTCGCGGCCATCGTGCACGTAATTTTGCGTTTGCGTTTAATTTATTTAACTTTTATGTAATAATGTTACTTATTTTTTTTATATTTAAAGTGCGAAAAAAGTGTATACAGGACTTTAAATATCTGAATATTAAAGATTTGCGCAAGGTGGAAAATTAAAACCAAAAAGAAGTTTGTTGGATTCACACTCAGAGGTACTTACATTACATAAATCTTTAAAAATACAAAGTTCAAGGTGAAATTAAACAATACCAAGTACCTAGTTGCTATAATCCGATGGAATCATCATCTTCCAAAAATCTATTTACATCTTGTAAAGAGAATTATTAGATTGTAAACTATATTCCTTTAACATGTTTAGTGATGCGAACAGCACAATGGGGCTGTTTCCTTCACGTACTTCGACATTACAGAAGTAATGACATCAAATATAACCCTTCGACTTATTTTGTGATGCGAGCAGTACATGGGACTGTTTCTGTCACGTACTCGGACACTATAGAAGTAAATAACATTGAATAAATTGTGCAACGTAAAACATGATGCAAAAGCCTTTTGGAATTATTAAATTCATAAAAATACACTTTTAATTGTGTTAACTTGTGGTAAGTAGTGTTGCCTGTGATGCGAATGGTTTTTGGGATCATTTCCTTCATAATAATACATAAGTAATATGTTATGTAAACTTAGGAGTGTTCACTGTGTGATGTGAATATTTTTTTGGGATTATTTTTTTCACAAAAATATTTAAGTTATACCTATATTAAATAAAATTTACTGCTTCCTTCATGTCCATCGAAATTACTACTCGTTAATTGGGCATTTGTAAACTATATTCTTTTAACATGAACATGTTTTGTGATGCGAACAGCACAATGGGGCTGTTTCCTTCACGTACTTCGACATTACAGAAGTAATGACATCAAATATAATCCTATGACTTATTTCGTGATGCGAGCAGTACATGGGACTGTTTCTATCACGTACTCGGATACTGTTGAAGTAAATAACATTGAATAGATTGTGCAACGTAAAACATGATGCAAATGCCTTTTGGAATTATTAAATTCATGAAAATACACATTTAATTGTGTTATCTTGTGGTAAGTAGTGTTGCCTGTGATGCGAATAGTTTTTGGGATCATTTCCTTCACAATAATACATAAGTAATATGTTATGTAAACTTAAGGAGTGTTCACTGTGTGATGTGAATATTTTTTTTTGGGATTATTTCCTTCACAAAAAATATGGAAGTTATACCTATGTTAAATAAAATTACTGTTTCCTTCGTGTACATCGAAATTACTACTCGTTAATTGGGCATTTGTAAACTATATTCTTTTAACATGAACATGTTTTGTGATGCGAACAGCACAATGGGGCTGTTTCCTTCACGTACTTCGACATTACAGAAGTAATGACATCAAATATAATCCTATGACTTATTTCGTGATGCGAGCAGTACATGGGACTGTTTCTGTCACATACTCGGACACTATTGAAGTAAATAACATTGAACAAATTGTGCAACGTAAAACATGATGCAAATGCCTTTTGGTATTATTAAATTCATGAAAATACACTTTTAATTGTGTTAACTTGTGGAAAGTAGTGTTAACTATGATGCGAATGGTTTTTGGAATCATTTCCTTCGCAATAATACATAAATAATATGTTAAGTAAACTCAAGGAGTGTTCACTGTAATGCGAAAAATTGCAACTACCTATTGAACCTGCAATTAACGAGAAACAGAACTTAAACTCACCTTTGCGTTTTTCGCAAAAAACATTTTGTGTCGAGTGCCCAGCATCCTGCGAGCTGTTTCTCTGGCCACAGTTTAGGGTAAATTAACCCAACAATTGCTGTTTCGTTGAACGGTATTTACACGGTATTTCAATATTACGAAGAAATGAAAATAAGTAATGTGTTACTTTGAAACAAATATTTTGAATGACGTAATTTTTAAAATACGTGTCGCCTCCATTTTTATCACAGATTCAAAGTATTTGGCACGAAATGTATCGAGTCAGCTTTTTCGATAAGTTTCTGTGAGGATTCCCCAACAGAAGAGTTATGACATGGTGACTACCTGCGATATCAACGAAGTCAAAACCGCTACGAAAACACAAGTTTGTGGAAGCGTCCACTCGACTCCGGAAGCTTTAAACTGGAGGGGCTCACCACCTATGCTGGCACTACCGGCACCTCAGCGCATGCAGCTGAGGTCCGGCCGCATCAATACCACAGGACCCACCAGCACCGCCAGTGTTTCCAGCCTGCTCCCTGCGCCGCTAGAATCAGCAGCCGTCACCAACACCAGGAGCACTGGGAATACTCAGGCTGGTAGATAACATTCTTTTAATACACATATAATTATTGGCGTAAATTCACTAATGATCCTTTTGTCTTCCTGGGTGTCCGGACTACGTATTCGGACATCCGGCAGTTTCTTGGCCTTTGCTAACTGCTCTCTAAATGAAATCGGTTTATAAGCAAATGAATTGAATACCTATTAGTAGGAGATCATTGTATAAGTGTCGGCACAATCATTGTGGTGTTTGATCCCTATGAGGGTCAATTCTTGTCAGTATTTTTCTTATTTAAAAATGTACCAGTAAAAAAAAAGGCCTTTTTCGAAACCGAAAGGCATTAAATAATTATATTATACCTGATTATAACACACTAAGCTTGAGGGTTATAGAACTGCAAATGAAAAAAAATCATGAGATACCGCCTTGTGTGTTCTTTAGTTTTAAAAGACGATTTTACGATTTGATCTACAGAAAGCTCTAAGTTTTACCTTTTTCGGCTTAAATATTGTGACGTATATTTTTTAAAAATTTATGCGACTCAAACTGCAATATTTGCGCAATGTAAACAAGATTACGAATACACAAAAGTTTATATTGGAGTCATTAATCTTTACGATTAACAGAAAAAAGTGTGGGTACGTAATACACCTAGTTCAACTGCATCCTTTTATAGCAAAAATACATAGATTTATCAACCTCTTTACTAGGCAAATCTTCGCCATGTAATATTGATGGGTCTGACAACCAAATACGTTCGGGAGACAATCAGATATACTTGCTCAAATCAGACTGCCTGTGGACAGCGGTCGAAACAAGAGAAACATTTTTGGTCTTAAAATATTTGCAAAAGACATAAAAGACTACGAAATACTCCTACGCATATATAATCTCACCGAATAGACAAGCATTCAGTTTCCTCACACAGCTTAAGCAGGGATAATTGACAGCACTGTTTCCTTGCATCTAATATTAGCTCCAAAGATAATAATAATATGATACGCTTGCAGAGTCAAGTATAATACACGCTGATGTGGTGGGAGCTTGCTAATGACGAAAATCAGTAATTTTGTAAAACATTAGCACAGCCACAGATATAATTATTTGCGTGACGATTAATTAGAAAAGGATGAAGAACACAAACTGCCCTGGTGGTCACAGTACTATTAGGATACCGTTCATAAAACAAGGTTATTCTCTGGACGTCGCGGATATTATGTTAGCATCAATACCTGATAGCAGGTTGTAACAATACAATGCTCGTTTGAAACAATGTCACTGTTTTTGTGGATAAAATTATGTACTATTTTTTGAAACGCTGTGGTCTGGGATATCTCAATAAGAAAAAGAAAATTAGCATAAATGACAGCACAAAATCGGTTATGTCATTATTAAAATAAATTCAGAAATTATGAACAATATTCTTGTCAAATGGTTTTTGTGAAGAAATTTATAAATTTCGTACCCTGTCACCAAAATATACTGTCACGGGTACTACTAGTACTACTTGAATCCCAAGTAGGGTGCATAATTATTTAAAGAGGAAACTTGGACCCATGTGATAGCATTTTATAAAGCTGTTTTTTTTTAATAATAGGTAATAACTCTTTGGCTCTTTTTATTGCTCATAAGATACTTATTTTATTTATAATCAAGTCAAATATTAATTTGTATACTAATGAAAGTTTCAAAATTAAATATCACTGATAAGATTAAGTCTTCAACTATAAATCGAGCTTATCATTTACTGACTTTATTATAACGATGTACCTTCAATATGTCTAGCCAAAAATCTTGGAATACTATTTCAATGTTTCAGCAGTGAAGAGGCAATGGGAATGTGTTTTTATTTTTTTACTAATATTATTATTTAGTTCATAGACTTCGAGTCGCTGTATCTTTGCAACTCTACCAGACAGCGGAATAGACATAATCACCTTCTTATAGCACGATACGTGCTGCTACTTTACCTGATACTAAGCCAGAAGTTAGTATACAGCTTATGAAGAAAACTGCGGATTGGACAAGTGCGAAATTTTACAATAGAGAAGTATCCAAAAATAACTCGGCCTTTTTTGCTCGCTCTCTTTACAAACATTTTAAATAGATTTTTAAATTACCTATCTAGAGCTAAATAATAGTATTTCTTCTTCTTCTAGAGCTAAATAATAGTATTCTCAAATCAAGTGTTACTATATTAATTTACATTAGTATCTAAAAGTCAGCTATTTCGTGTAGCTTTAAACATCTACAAGTGTGTCAATGTAATCTCGAAGGGCGAATCACAGAAGTATAATTGAAAGTCAAACGAACTTACCTGTAAGTGACGTTCGACTTATATTATACGATGTGATTCGCCCGAGAGATTACACACCCTCCCTGTCCCTGATCAGCTATTCTATGAATATATCTAGATCTTACCCATGGTCACACGAAATAGCAAGAACCAATGGACCGCTTTAGTCCAAACGTGTATGAATATGTGGAGTTACCCCCGTGCGAACGCATATTTTATATTTTTTTTTGTTATATTTTTTTAGGCAAAGGTTAATGTTGCTCTAAAATTGTGTACGATGGCAGCACATAATGCGTGCTACTACAAGTGTGTCAATGTAATCTCTCGGGCGAATCACATCGTATAATATAAGTCGAACGTCACTTACAGGTAAGTTCGTTTGACTTTCAATTATACTGAAAGAAGACATCGTTTTATTTTTAATATTAATAGGAACTGCATTCACAGATTTTTTAAAAATCGCCTGCTACAACTGGGATTAAAACTCGTGAAATTTCGAAAAAAAAAACACGACATATTCTAAGATAGCCATCGAAAGGGTAAATCATAAGTATGATTATTAGAATTCTTTTTTTCAAAATTTGCCATTTGTTTAATGGTAACTAGCGTTCTGTTTTCAGCGCATTTGTACCTTTTTCGTCATCACCGATACGTTATAAATTCGAAGGATTATAAAGTATGAGGACCGTCGTGGCAGCAAAGCGGCAGAAGCGTCGCACGCAACATCAACGACGTATACGGAGCGAACACTACTAACGATCGCAGCATCCGTTATTGGTCACCCGCTTCCGCTCTGGAAATTTAGACCTAAGAGACGAAAAGGAATGCCCATCTTAGTATGGATCATCAGCATCGCATCGCTACGAAAAATTTTGTACGATGATGATTTTTACCATATATATTGTAGTTTTCTATGTGTAAATTCATTAATGAAAAACATTTTTCTCCAACTCGACGGGTAATAAGAAATAACAAAGGAAATTATATTCATATTTGTTCCTTCCTCTTCACATTTTACTACTGCACACCAGACGGTCTCGAAGTTACAAGAGCTGGAGCTCTACTCTCTTTCTCCGAAACGAAATTTCGGTATCGAACTGTTTTTAAACGAAATTTCGCCATTACTCTATTTTATTTTCGAAAACGCACATAAAGTTCGGAATCACAAACAATTTTCGTGAACGAATGGAATGAGTCATGTTTGTGAGTTCTTTTTATGTTTACTTTTTAAATAACGTTTTTTACTTGGAAACAATGTTACTTTATGACAACATTTTTGATGACATTAAAAGAACCTATTTTGACAGTGTTAGCCGGCTAATTTGTAGAGTTGATACAATCGATTGTATGTCAACTTAAATTTGTCGTTTAATATTTTGAAGTATTGGAAATACAATAAATGATAAAAATTTCGTTACTTTGTTAATTTTACATGCTATAAAATGTTCCTCGAGCTAAGCAGCCTGGATGAAAAATACTCTATCAATCATTTTAGACTTAATTCAAATAAAAATCCCAAAACGAAAAAGAAAAGGTAACACTTTTCATTTCGTCAATTTGAGGTTGAAATTTCGAACAATTATATGTAAAATTCAACTTTTCCGTGAATTAGAGTAGGCTTGAAGAAATTAACTATCAAACAATTTTTGGACGAACGAATTTTCGAAATGAAAAAGAAATAGAGTAAGAAACGTGCGAAATTTCGATCGAAATTTCGTTTTTCGTCGAAATAGAGTAGGCCTCCAGGGGTTGGAAGTTCTCCGTCATCCACCGTGCTCACCAGACCTTGCCCCTTCAGACTTTACTTTTTCCAGAATTTGGATAATCTCTTAGTGGGGAAAAAATCAATAAACGAGAGGCATTTTAAAATGCCTTTGAAGAATTTGTTGCCTCTTGTCCAGCAGACTTTTTTAAAGAAGGCATCAATAAGCTACCACCATGTTGGTAAAATGCCTTGATTGCATGGGTTATTACTTATTAATAAAAATTAAAAATATAGAAAAAGGGGGTTAACTTATTTAATGAAAAACACAATTTCATAGGAAAAGACCTAACATAACGATCATTCATTAAGTCGTTAGTTGCTGGTACCTTTTTTCATGAAAAACAGTTCATTCATACCCAAGTAGGTCAATACTGGATACAAAGAACATATTGTATTCCAGTAGAAGAAATAAGTTGCAAACTTGAAAATTGTAACATGAAGTTTCAGTCCGTATGAACATAAATTGTCCAAATACAATTTAAGTTTAGCAATAGCAATGAAATATCCTTCATAGTTATTGCATGAATGTTATTCAAAAACACGCCAACTCCAAGCAAATCGTTCGAACAAAATACGATATTCAGAACAGCATAGCTATTTAAGCTATTTATTTCATTTATGAATTGTTCCAAGAAATTAACGCTGTACGTGAAGTCTTACAATTTTTTACTTAAACTTGAACAGATTTTTTTTGAGGATATTTTGTAATTGGAATATGTTAATTAACTACATTTTATAATTTAGGTTGAGGGTTAAAAAAATACATATATTTCTTAACACCTGCTTTGCAAGACATCTACCACCATAAAGGAAATATCATAGATAAAACAGAATTTAATCCATCAGCGGATTTTTCTAAATGGCATTCTAATATTACCGATGAATAGAAATTAACCTCTTCACGGATTGAAAAACCTGAGTGACTCCCTCAACCCCAATCGTTTTATCCTCAATTGCTTTAATTTGCTTTGAAACTCAATGATTTTTCTCATTCGTTCATTTCTAATATGCGCATAAATTACGTTCCGAGCCCATCAATAAATTTCAATATACGATATTCAACACCCACCGCTTAATTTAGACTTAATTAAAATTTTCCTTAACCAATAAACTGTAAAGGTTAATTTATAATGTTATTAAGTTTTAAAGTTTCGATCGAAGTTTTTCACCTCATTATAACACTCATTTCTGTAAACGAGGAGTCAGTAAAGATCATAAACTTTCCATTAAGTCAAAATTAAATTAATTACGGTCGGTTTATTCTCCTGCAACTTTGTAATTCAATTAAAAAAACCTGCAAAGCGTCTTGATAAAGGCAACAAAAACAATTAATTATAGTCCTTCTATATTCAGTATCGAGTGATATATTAATTTTGGTTATTACGTAGATTTTCGTCGATAAACCAAGGTCGAGGGTTGGATTTGACGTTGACGCGGGTTTCGCAACGATCATATTGCAAATGTTTTTTGTCTTTGATGTGTTTTCAGTACCTATACCTTAATATTCTTGGCAGATTTGGGAATATAGAAATACTATACAGATACCAGATGCATTATCATTTAATAGTTGTTGGTTTAGTTAAAGTAAGCTTATCTTGCTTCTTATTTAAATTTAGAAATGTAAAAGTTTGTAAGTTTCTTTGTTTGTTACACAATCACGCAAAAATGGCGTAAACAGATTTCTTTTATGATTTTTGAAATTTTACACACTTAAAAATTATATTCTGGAAAGAGACATAGGTCATTTATTATCGTGCAAAAGTGTTAGGTTCCTGACGGATATCCAGAAAAATAAAATTAATGCGGACGATATCGCGGGCGGCTGCTAGTTATTATACATATAAACATCATGAATGAGATAAAGTTATCTTATAATATGCATTGCGTAAGAATAAATAATTTTTAATTATCCAAATCAAATGGGTATCGATGTCGGTATTACCTATCTGATGTAATAAAATGTATTGTGCGTGTGTTCATGTGTTGTTACTTAAATGAATATTTTTCCATACAGGTAAGTATCTAGTTACACTCACCTTCTGTGTCTGTGCATAATATTAAAGATGATCAGCCCTATTGCAGCCAATATGCCAGCCAAACACAGCGCTGTCATACAAGCGAACAACGGCAAGGAAACCGTTCTCAATTCATTCACCACTACGGTCCGATCTGGGGGCACCTTTCCACCTGATGAAAAAAAACACACTTCAAGCAACAAACCATTTTATCTCTTCAATAAAACCCTCGTAAAGCATCAACAGAATTAGAAAGGCTATTCCAAGAATTAGAGTGACATTCGACATTAAAATACTCCAAGGGCGGACAAGCGACGTCTAAAATAGGCGGTCTGGATATTTTCTCTCTGTCCGTTTGAGAACTAAGTGACTTTTTTAATATCAGTACAGTCTAAAATGTGGACGCTGTATCACATCTGGGTATCATTTGGACTGTTATCGTGTTGTACTGGACTTAATAGTCCAGTCGATAACTTTATCATCGATATCGATACTTATGTATTTAGAGGAAACTATTCAAATCTACTGAGTTCGGGTGCAGACAATGAGGTTTTAGGTTCTTTCAAACCATTCTACTACGGAGTATAAATATTTCAAAGAAGTATATTTATGGCCTGCGCAGATGTAGGTCTTTTGTCCACGGAGAACCAAAGTCCTTGAATCGTGAAAAAAATGTCCGGACTCAACGCACACGGTGTCGAACATTTGTTGCCCGAAAATTTAGAGAAGCGCATGTAATGGAAGTAAATATTCTCAGATTACCTTGTATTGTATTTAACATGAAGTTTATGAAAAATAGAAAACGTTTTAAAAGAGAATACTGGGTCCATCTAATTAAATCTGATCGAGCGCACAATGCAAACTAAAGTTCGATATGTGCGTTGCTGCGCCTAGTCACCTGTGTTGTATTTTTTTTTCGGGGACATCCCATAAAAGTACGCACTTTTGTCCTGTCTGGTCTTTCGGTATCCTCGGTTGTTCAGGGGAAAATTTGAACGCGGTACTTTTAATCCCTCGTGTGCGTTACTCGATGGGTTGTAAGTGATCTATCTTTGCGGACAAAAAAGCCCGCGAATAAAAGTCAATCGATTGTGCAGGCTAATATGATCTGGCTTAATACAAAAACTCAGCGAATAAAAAAAGATGCAGAAGAATAGCCTTACTAAAAGTTTTAAATTAGAAGAACATAGATTTGTGGATCCCGAGCAATTAATCTCCTTTACATACTTAAACTTGTTTTTGATGTTGTGAGGATTCCATAGATAAAAGAAAAAAATATTTTTACAGCATGATATTCTGATATAAAAATATTAAGCTATCGTAACGGCAATCTTAAAGGAAGTGCCGCGGGCAACATTTGTTTATGGAATTATTAATGGGATTAACTTTTAGAAGAGCATTACTTTAATAGCAATATAGCCCGCAAAGAAAACGTCAAAGAAAATATTTATTCTTATAAATATTTTCTTAAGAGTTCTTGTTCTTATGTATTGCCGTACCTATATATATTACGTACGTATATTATCAGCCTATGTAGTAATAAAATTACTTACATCTTCAGCTTTCTTTTCATTCTTTATTCTCTCATATGTTTTCGGCGATTCTTAAGACTATGATCCGATATTACCTTCAAAATGTCGTCAGATTGATTGTGGTACCTACATGGTTTTTGGTGATATCTAGCTCCTATATAATTTCTTTTTTAATTAAAAATAAAGTTTGCCTAGGTAGTTATCAATTTATGAAGCAATAAAAAAAGTTCAGAGCTACAACGCAAAGGCCATAGCATAGAAGTAACTTCATTACGAACGTCTATAGTAAGTGCGTTTAAAATATTTTACTAGTGGTCTGCTCTCGTTTTGCTTCATTGTAGACTAATGATGATGTTTTCGAGTTTCTATCATACATATTAAACCTTTCGTGTCGTGGTTTCGTAGTTAGCGAATTTAAAGACGTACTCGAAAGCTATTTTGTATTTGCTATGTTGTACTCGTATAAGTTCTGAAATTTTGTTTATGAATACACTAACATAAACAGCTAATATCTATAGGTAAGTCTAGCATAATCAGTGAATCATTAACATTATGGCTCGTATTAATAGATCAGAGTTGAGAGCGATCTATAAGTAAGTAAAAAGAAGTTAAGTAAGTTACTCTCTACTTATTTGTTCTATAAATAAGTTCACGGCATAGCATAAACTAAAGCCGTATCGTAAAGAGCGTTATCTACGAGAATTATTCATAACACAGCGATTGCCAAAACTTGTCAGAGGTTGTTACGTAATCTCTGCGTAAAGTTGCCACATTATTTTGTCGCAGGACAAAAGTTGCGACACATCTACCGAGGGAATTTTCTTGCAGAATGTTGTTTTTCTGCGGAGTGACGTCTTCCGCGCTTTCGCGAAGTGTAATCCTATATAGGGCTAGAAACTTATTTTTTTCGGTGTTAAATGAAAAACAACATTATTATGTGTGTTACAATATTGCTGTGTACCTTGTTTTTACAAGTTTCTAATATTCCAGCACTATTGCAAGTGCCATGATTATTGCAATCTCGCTAATTTCGGTAATTACTATAATGTTAGTAAGTAAATTTTGACACAAGTCACAATGATTTAGATAAACCGAGCTTGTACCAGATAAATTGAATAACGATTACAATACATGTTTCAGTAAAATAAAATGTGAGATCATTTATATACGATTGTATATAAAGGGATTCGAGCCCAGCAGATTTAATGCAGAAGGTATCTGCTAAATATTTATATAGATTCATAATTTTAAGCAGTTATAAATAAATAAAAATGTATATTAGTGTGGGGAAAAAAATAACTTGGCTTATGTATGAAAGTTGGACTGAAAATTGATTAATATTGAGTAAGAGATGATTGTTCTATTTCAGTTTCCTTAGTTAAGCCGACAGTTAACTTTCTAGGTAATACGATATATTTTCTTTAACTTCAAATATCTATTAAATAATTTTGTGGCAACCCTAGGCTGACTTCATTTCGGTTTTCGCGCGTTACGTAATGTGATCTTTATAAATGTTTACTCTCATTTATATACTTTGGGTAGGTAATTTATTTGGAGTTATGGCTGCCATGAGCTGCATTACTCACTGCCTTAGTTGATAACTTACTTGTTTTGTGAATTCCTTGAACTAACACTACCAGCTAATGAGATTTTATATACCATTAGTGTTCTGGTATAATTCAAAAAAGTTAAGGAACAAGTTCTACGATCTGTAATTACGCAATTTTTATGAGTATTTGTCACGCACAGGCAAATATAAGTTTTCGTATTTTGGAAAAAGATTTTCCGAGTGTTACTATTGTCAAAAGTAGTACAGGAAAAACACAAAATATAGAGAGCGGAGCTAGAGTTATGCATACAAAAATGTTATTGTGCACTGTTTGATTTCGAACTCTCTGGCAAACATAGCGACTAATTCCAATATCTTTGTAAAACACCCCTCTGACCTAGTGACTCCATGATGGAGCGGAGACTACCTCCATGGGGAGGTGACCTCTGCTTAGATAACAACTAGAGCCATTCGCAATTTCCCGGCTTGACGTCCCTTAAGGATCTCGCCGTCCCAAGTTAAGTTACGTTCTAAAAGTCATCTGCATACACACTCCAACATAATCGCGCTCAAACGGAGAGTAAAATGATTTGTGATTTTTGTCACCTCCGATGACCGTTCACTGAATAAGAACCACACAGGCTATCACTGGACTAATATTTTAGAATGAAACGCAAACATCCGATACGTTTCCATCTCCATAATTGGCTGTTAACAGCGGTCGTAGCCAATTCGGTTGGCAGTTCCATATCAAGCCACACGGATCGAATTCTAACCTCGTCCAATGTACAGTCAACAACCAGCACTCGACAAAATAAAATATTTTTTTTCGTTTACGAATTTTGTGCCAAATACGTGAAAGTTAAAGGTCGTTTATATTACTTTAGGCCTTATAATTTTGCGGGTGGCAAGCATTAAAGATGCAAAACCATACTTTATAACACTTTCATGGATTTACCTGAACTCGGAGACGCCGCGCCGCTTTGGAAAATTATGCGAAAATAAAAGTGACAGTGCTAAATGCTACCTGAAATGAGTTGGATTATTTAGCCACAAGCATCTTTAGATTGTTTCATAACAAAGAAAAAATATTACGTGATTGCGGGGCTAAAATAATGTCCTAAATTAGTCAATCACGGTATCGAAATCTACTATCTGTGGAAGTTGGTAGCTGGTGCATTCAAAAATTTGTCTCCCAGTTTAGCATGGGATACGTTAAAAATTAATTGGAGGCATTTCATTTTTCTTTCGAAATCTTAATGTGCTGCTGACTATTCGAGTTTCAGCAAAAAACGGTAATATTTCAGTAAACATGAGTCTTGTACTACATAAACGTTATGTATATCTAGGAGGTAGGCGCAGCTATCTCTATTAGTCACTTATAATGTGCCATTAAAGCGCAGATGTGTTCAAACGAATGGACTGAGGGATACGCGCATGAAATATACATATAACTACCTAGAAATAGAAAAATCAAAGAACCAACCTATACAAATTATTGGCCGCGCAATCGCTTCGTCTCGTCTCTCACTTGTCAGATCAATTGTACTTTGGAGTGTAGTATGTAAGAATCAAATAAGTATTTTCAATAAATTTAAATGAGAAAACAAAAAGCGGGAGGTCAATAAAAACAGTATTTCTCTTATACTTATAAGTAAAGTAAACAATTAAATTGGAAAAAACAACGGTAACTTTTATACGTCGTACGTACCAACCCATCGTTCCCGGTCCAACCACGTCAAGTTGTCCGCCTGCGTGTCATAATAGCCGAGCTTCACGTAGTGGTTGTCGGTGAGCTGCTCGATCTGTGTCAGCGCTATACGATCGCCTTGCGACGAGAATGCCACCAGACCCTAAAACAATGAAACAAATCAACGTAGGCATAGTGGGAGTCAAACTTTATGGCGGTTGTGAAGTTCTATGCGCAGCTTTCAATAGGTTATTGTTATATTTGACAAGTTTTTATTGGTGTATTATAGTGTCTCCATAAATAGTGGATATTTATTATTTGGTTGCATATGGGTATCAGTTAGAAACGAAAATAAAAATTCTATTTTCAAATATGACGCAGATATGTTTTCTAGCAAATATGGCATCTTACAGGCAGGTGACGTCACACGGCTCTTATTATAACGTCAAACAGTACAAAGTAATGTCACTTCGACAGCATGTTTGCAAGCAGGGGACATCATGTCCCTAACTGTATGAATACGATTCAAATAATCTATTCCATTGTTTGACAATGATGATGTGAATTTGTTGTAATTTTATATTATGCTTAATGAATGGAATAATTGTAACAAATTTGTCTCAACATGACAATTAATTTGCACACCCCATTGGGTGCGATGCTCTTTCTCTCTATATCACCATTTGTTACCTTAATCTGCAAATGAAGATAATTATGATTTTGATTATCATGTTGGGCTCCGCTAATCCTAGGAGTTTTCGGTCACGTGACAATAGATCAAAAAATACTTTTCTACTTCAGGATTTTTAGTAATATTATCAACTACTATTTTGTCAGAATAGTGAAATCGCTCCTTTTCATGTTGAATTCACATGCCAAAATTGGTACTTTACTTTCCATACTGTCAAATAGCCTATTCAGAGACCTGTCGCGCGCCCCCGAATCATCTTTCATTTCGATTACTGCGCTGAAACTTACGCTAACATTACAGTCGCCATTAAATTTAAATCGCACTCTACATATGCAGATACGAGAAAATTTCTGTTTTTTGTACGGGTGGTAGGATCAATAGATCGGAAAGTATTAATGGAGTATAAAAGATAAGAGAGAGAGATAATGGATATAAGTTTTAACAGGGAAATAGGTAGATGAAAACGAAAAATATTTCTTTTAGTACAAAAAAGGGTTAAAAGACAGAGACTGATTCTTTCCATTACGTGTATAACGAAAATGTGCCTGAAGAAGTAGCTCTTCCAAAAGAAGGTGATGTGGTGTGGTAGGAAAAGTATGATAGATTTTCATTTAATTACTACTCATAAGTTTATGAGTTTGGAGCTATGAAAAAGTCAAACTGCTAAGCCTAATGAATCAAAAGATACAGCCATTTATTCCACAAATTTCCGCAAATTTTCGAAACTCGCACGGGAATCAAAACCTACAAGGCACTTCCAGTGAACTTAGAATCTTGAAATTTGATATGAAGTAACGTCTTATAGTACAGATAAAGGGAAATATAGATCATATACTAAAAATATTTCTTAATAATTTATTAAAATATACCTACAGGTTTGTACCCTTTTTGGAACTCTCGGTGAGCGATTCCGACTCGCACTTGGCCGGTTTTTTTATTATAGGTTGCGAAATACCCAGGTTTCCCAAGTTTGATACAAGACGCCTTAGAAAAAAATATTTAGTGGAGACATTTTTTATGGGAATATCATATACGTTTCTTTAACAAATATTATATGATCTTTCGTTATAATAATGTTCATAACACTGTTACGTGTCGGGATGGGGTTCGAAATTATATGGCAGTTCACGCTGACAGTTCTTTATTCACCACACAGTTTATACAATTGACACACAATGCTAATTACAAAACACTCACTAAACACTGTATTTCACTATACAAGTCTCTAAACAATCGCACTTGAACACTTTTGTTGCACTTTGATCGCCTTTGGATTCGCTCCGAAATCGCTGTTGAAACTCAACTGTCTCTGCGCGGCGCCAATCGCGCTTATATACGCCGATCCACTCATTCTAGAAAGTACTTATACCTACGCAGGTAACGCGCATTACTTGTAAACAAGTGCAGATCTCGTTGCACTTTCTTCCTTACGTCGCACTGTATAAGGCTCATTTTAGAATGAGCTGCATTACTCGACCTCTATCGCGACCCACGGTGCTCTGGCACATTCGATCTCTAGCACTTTCGCGGTTCCGTTTTCGAGAGCATTTGTGACAATACTAAATTATGTATGATATTCAGAATATGTATCTTATCCTCCATAGGTTTTTGAATAAAATGAAAATTGGCGTATTTGCTTATTATTTAAACGACCATTAATAAATATTAAAATATCAACGCACTTAACAACGTGTTATTCTCAGGGTATATAAATTAAAAACGGCGAAATTATTTATTACAGTTAATTTGACAGGAGACGAAGGGATGGAACATAGAATAGTTAAATAGGTATCAGGGGAAGGTACAAAGTTTGAAACAGCCGCACTCCTGCTAATGAAGAGCTTAAAAAATGTCATTCCTATGTTAACATTAAGAACGAATAATTAAAGTGCTAATTTTAATATTTAAATACTTGTTTCAGTTTTTGGATGAGCTATTGAGAGGTAATGATAATTAAATAAATATAAATGTTACGGTTTGATTCTAGAAAATGCGTCTTATGCCGCGATGTTTCGGCGATAGTAAAATTTGACTATTGTTAACGTTGCGTCAATACATAGTTAATATGTTAATGAGCGCTTCCCGAAGTCACGCGCTATATCTTTGTAATTTTTTGGTTGATAGACAAAAGAAAAAATAAGTGTTCATTATTTTAATGATAATCTAACTGACGAACTAAATGGAATTTTATTTAGATTACCCCGTCGTTATCCCTATTGGTATTGTGATAATAAATAAAATCTTCATATACTTATTTGATTGATCGTAATAATATCAATTAAATATGATTCGAGATATACCTTTGCATGCCCGATTTGGGTATTAAATCGTAAAATTATTTAAGAGCACTTTGAATATTACTGCGATCCTGAATGGAGGTTGATATAAGCGGTGCCCATAAAATTTCATGGCTGTCAATAGGTAGCTATTCGTTAAAGTCACGGAACTTGACTTAGTTTTATTTTACAGCCAATTTACGGAGCTGAAAGTGCAGATGTGTTGCGGTACTGAGTTATTAAATCAACTTTCGAAATATATTCTAAAAGTTCAGTTCGGAAATTCCTTTTTTGCGTGGCTAGTTTCAGGGTATGCTTTCATCGGGCGAGCGTTTTGAAGCCCTGGTATACGTTTTATCTTAAAATCTCCATTTTTAACGGTACGCGTGCGATATCATAAAACTCCAAGCGTATATATATATATAGATTACAAGTGCTTGTGAATGGAATCGTTTTGTATGTATACTTATATTTTAGATATGGAAGTTTATTAGGTACTATTTTTATGTACTATTTCTACAACCGCTAGACGTGGGTTTATTTAATGCAATCTTAAATTTACGAACGGTGGCTAGAATAATTTGTAAAACAATAAAAAAAGAACCGTATTACAGAAAATGAACATCTATTGCACAAACTTTACCGTTTCTTTACCACATCTTAGTATGATTCTTATGTGAATACCGAGCATATGAAATTGCCACGTCAAATTGTCAGTCCCAGAAAACGCGCAAGCTCGCCATGGAAGGATCCTCATGTTTTTTTCATGCCAAACTTGAGTAGTAAGACTATATAAAAAATACGCTTATGAATTTTGTATTTTCATATTAAATCCAATGGTAGGCGAAATATATTCGTAATCTGCTTTGATGTGTGTTATGATTCTGTTATATCAGAAATATAGGATTTATTTTATCAAATATACAATGTGTTATGAGGATACAAATATTGTTATGGTGTGTGTGTTACTTTTAGTTTTTGCATGAAGACTGATATGAATTTTGTTCTTTAGATATCGTATCTAGAAAGTGATAAACTATTACTAACAGATATGCGCCTGTTTGTTAGTGAGCTGTACCACAAAGGGACACAGTTGATATTTTTACAAAATGTGTATTATTTAATCTATCACAACAAAATTGTCATATGAAAATTAAATGGAACTAAAATGCAAAAGGGGCTCCCCTGCAAGAGAGGTTGTTTCGAAAACCAATAACTCATTTTTTTATGTATATTTTTATCTTGATCTCGTGTTAAAAGTAAATGAAATGAAAAAAAACTTCCCAGTGGTATAAAGCCCATTATGTTCCAATCCACCTAGGACATGGCTGGTTTTTAATGTCGGTCAAGGTGAGATATTTAAAACTACTATAAGTGTAAATACACTTTATTTGATAATAATGAGTTTCAAAACTGATGATGATTTTACTCATCCAATTTAAACCATATCAAAAGTTTGGATTAGAAATATCGTATTGTTAAAATAAAACGAATTTAGATGTAAGATCTGCTACTTTGTTAGGTATTGAATTAGAACTGGAAACAGCAACTCAAAAAATAGCAAATAAACTATCATCTTTTATATACGCACTCCAGCAATTAACTCGTGCTAGCGATTTAGAGTCCGCTATTGTGCGAGCTTATTATGCGAACGCGTATTCAATATTTTCGTATGGATTTGTATTGTGGGGAAACTTATTTGACGTTAGGAAGCTATTTGTTTTGTAGAAAAACTGTATACGAATACTAACATATACTATAAACATATACTATACTATAGCATATAGTATATAACATATACTATACTAGCTAACATTGATCAAATGAAATCATGTAGATTTTTTTTGTAAAGTATAACATATTAACTTTAGCTTCCATCTATATTCTAGTCTTATAAATTTATCATAAAACATCCGGAATTTTATTTTCCACTAAAAATAATAAAAGAAATAATAGAAACTTAAATAAATTTAGATGACCGCTATTATAAATGAAATTAGTTACATCTAGCCCCCATATAATGATGATTAAGATACATAGCCATGTTCCTAACTACCTAAAAAATTATAACACACCGGCGCAATTTATAAAACATTTAAAAGACTTTCTTATTGCCAAGTGTTACTATGACTTAAATGTTTTTTTTCGATGATAAATCAACCAGCCAATGGAATGCTTCAGACTCTTAAGAATAAATTTATCAATAATGTATTTAAATTAAGAGTAAATAATAATATTTGAATGAATTAATGGTGTCGATTCTGGCATGATTCTCTAAACTTAGGATTGAATTAGTTTAGCATCAGTCTCACCTTTTCATTCCGTATTGAGAATGACAGGGATTCACTGTTGTCGGATTTGGGTTTGGGTTTGGAGAATCATGCTAGAATTGACACCAATGTATGTGTAGAATGAGTGAATCTTAACTTATAATTTAGATTGTGAAATTGTATAAATAGATAATAACCCTCTAAAGTCGCTGTGCCCTTGCAGGGCGTCACATGGTTACTGTATTTTTCTGTATCACCTTATTTCTGTGATTGTGATATGCAATGAAAAAATAAAAATAAATTATGTTTTTATGTTTTAAGCATCTAACTGCTAGATGTTTAAATCTAAAGAAAAGTTTTACTAGAAAAAAAATCCACTGTGGATTTTTTTCAGGTCCGTGGTAGCATAATTGGTCAGTGCATTCGCCCGGATTGCGAAGGGTGCGGGTTGAGTCCCGTCCGCTGCCTGGTCCGTGTGGATTTTTTTTAATAAAACTTTTCTTTAAAAATAAACTACTTAAAAATTACCATAAACACCGTATGTACCGTCTATCCTGTACTGCACGTTATTACATACTTTATAAAGTATAAATTCATTTCTGTTCTACATAACTTAATTGTTAGGGGTAACAAGAGGTCACGTATTTCAAACCCTCAATTATTTGAAGCAAGTTCAATTATAAATTGACAATAACCGGAAGGAACTGTTCACCTGACTACGATAACTTTTAATTGCTTTAATAATGAAGTAGTGAGTTTGGACGTTTATTAATTGATTTTCACTGTATCCAAATTGAATTTTGAAAGCGTAAGCTTTACCGTATTGATTGGAAAAGCTTGTTTATTGAAACTATGCCCTTGAAAGCACCACTACATTACTATGTTAAGTATTGCTTGAATTCTGTTATGTGTTTGGGTCAAAAAAGAAGTCCAGAAACAGTTGGAGAAATCAGACAATTACGTATTTCTGCATATTAGTTCAGCAGGCGTATTCGAATTTTTATTGTTCCAGTCTAGCGGAAACGTGGGAAGCATAAAATTATTATTCCCCTACATTTCATAATGTTCATAAAAAGTTTTGTCTCAAGAAATCAGAGTTCTTTTAATTATTATTGTTTACGAAACACGTGGAGTAACAAGTAGGCACTTACGTTAAATAAATTTTGCAATTAAATTTGGTAGGCAGTTTCTAAGCAAAAAGCTTGTTCACCAAAGTTGCCATGGCGTTAACGAGCGGTCTGTGTACGCAACGCCTAACAATAAAAACTTGGGTGCCGGAGTCAAAGGCAAAGTGGGAAGTGCGATACTTACCGATACGCCGAGGAACGATGTAGAATTAATTGCCTCATAGATGTCGTCCGCAATCTTCTTGTTGGTATAAGTAAAGTTCTTGAGACTCAGTCCACTCTTCTCCAATTTCTCCATCGTTTTGTTGAATGCTATTAAACAAAAGACGAGCGCGTAATTAAAATAAAATGTATTTACCACAAAGTTATCCACACAATCTTTATCTAAAAGAAACTTTTCTCCTTCAATTTAACCAAGACAACTTAAACAATAGAATTAATGTAATAGATTGTGTAATGTGCGAAGTTAAATTGTTGGAGTTAACTGAGCGTTTTATAAAGGCACTGGAAATTAGTGGGCAGGCAAGCCTCAGTTGGTGGGTCCGAGGAAATTGAAAACTGAGGAATGTGGTCCCTTTATGACGTACAGTGAAGACGTGACGCCAACGGCGATTATTAAATTTTCGACGCTGGATCAATAACGTTAACAATATGTCTTAAACTTGAACAAGTTTGAGGCTCAAATGTATCTTGTTACCTAAGGCCTGTATTAATTTGACTTGGGATACACTTAGGCAACTGAAGGTCGTGTTACGGTCGTACACTGATATCATTGTATTACACAAGTTTGTAGAATATCAGTGTTATATTGTAGTTACCGTTGTTATACTTATACTTATGTTATATGTAGGTATATAATATTGAATTACCTTTGTGATGATTTTTTTTTTTTTTAAGCATTTAACTGCTAGATGTTTAAATCTAAAGAAAAGTTTACTAGAAAAAAAATCCACGCGGACCAGGCAGCGGACGGGACTCGAACCCGCATCCTTCGCTATCCGGGCGAATGCACTGACCATTATGCTACCACGGCCCTATTATAGCCGCGTCGAAATTTTCCTAGCCTTAAGCTGCAAGGCAGCGCCATCTCTTCGCATTGTAGGTAATGTCAAATGTAGGTAATGTCAAATAACCCACAATGTCAAATGAATACTTTTTCAAGTATTAAACATTTGAAAGAATGACGAGATGAAAAATTATGACATAGTGTAAACTTTTTACCCTATGAGGTAATAAAGTATAATCAATTCAGTGCTAAGTGGACTTTAAATGGAATTGTTACATCAGTATAATGATACTTAGAGTCATCATCATCAGCCTATTAATGTCCCCACTGCTGGGGCACAGGCCTTCCCTATGGATGGAATAGGGAGATTGGGCTATGACCCACCACGCGGGCCCAGTGTGGATTGGCGGGTGCTAACGACTGTAGATGCAGCCGGGACCAACGGCTTAACGTGCCTTCCGAAGCACGGAGGAACTCAAGATAGAAGATTTTTGGCCACCCATCCAATGACCGACCACTGCGAAAGTTGCTTAACTTCAACGATCGCAGCCGAACGCGCTAACCACCTGCGCCATCGAGCTCCTCATACTTAGGGTCACTTGCACCAAAATACTGAAAACAAATTAAGGCTTAATCTCTTTTAACACAATCATTCGATTTTTGTCAATTGTGTTATGTAAAATAGAGATTATTTTAAATTTCATGTAAGAACTTTGGTTCCCTTAGTTGAAGACCTTAGTGATTTTCTAAGTTGCGTCTGTATTTCGGAAACACAAAAACATTTTGTAGCGTGAATGTTACCTAATGCAACGGCCCAAACTGCGTCGTACGCCAACGGTGCCTCTTGGTAACCCTCGGGATATCTCTCGCCGTCGATGTCGTAACCCGCCTCCCTAAGAGCTTCGTTCAGCCGTGATCTGTTTGCATAAAATAGTTTTCTTAACATTTTGCTCTTGGATGGGGAATTCTGTTTTGATTCTTAACAAAGATCTCGAACTTTTACGGTCTTACTACATAAAAGTTATACACGGTTTCAAACCTAGTTTAGGCAAACTTTGTATAACCTGATGACACATTCATTTATTAAATTGGCGTTGAACGCATGCCTTACTTTTGTGGTAATAGGGTTTGTTTTGTCTTTATGTAATTTTTTGTGTCCAGGCCGTAATACAATATTATGAAAGGGATTTGTGTTACATAAATTTTATGGTCTCACAATACTGACAATATTTACAAAAAAGGCAAAACAAAACAAAACAAAGCACAAAAACAGCTTCTATATTGTCTTAAATGTCAAGCTTGGCCCAGACTCAATAATTCGGTTAAAGTTGAAATTCTTGCCAACTAAATGCCGTGGATTCCGACAACACTGACCGAGTTTCATGTTACTCATTAAAAAGAGAACGATCTTGTTAGATTGTAGATAAAATAAAAATACTAAGATCATTTCGCAGAGAGCGCCCAGTTAGTGCCGCTGCAGCGACATTACATTGTTCGCTCGGAGGACGATGAAAATTGTCCGAGAATGAGCTTTGGCGCACCTTAGGGATTTCTTCTACCTCCACTTTGTTGAAATGATGCTTGTATCCACTGGCGTCTCCTTTTAAATAGTATCTACGAGAGCAATGGTAAATTGAAAGTTTATTGTTTAACTTACTGATTCAGTTTTGCCAGAACCATTAATTTATGTTTTTTTTCCACGCAGAAAAACACTTAAATTCTATTTTACTGCCAAACTGCAAAATTAGTCTACAGCAATTAAATACAGCAATAAAATGAAATGTCTATGCAGTTTGTTTTATTTAAGATTTTTGAATCAACGACGTTAAGTGCCTCATTGTCATTACAATTTATCGACTGCGATAAACAATTGAAAAGAAATTAATGGAAATGCTCCATTGAACCAAATATGGCATTAGGATTTGTGTATATCAAAATTTCTATGCCGGAATATAGGCCATACTCTAGATCCATATGCCCGAGCCAACGATAATCTGGTATCAACACCGCTGCCAAATATTAGAGGCGAGAGTTTCGACAGTGAACTAATATTTTAGTAGGTTGCCCGCATTTAGCAGCCTATAAAGGTTCATTTAATCGATAAAATACTGAATAACATTGTAGATATTCATTCTTGTACCTGTATTGAAAGAGAAAAGGATAGAGAAAAAATATTTTAAATATTTGTGTGCAAAGTAACCAACTTGTTATAAAATTTTCCGGTTTTGTAGGCTAGGTGTAGCTTGCTTTTTGCTAGCTTGAGAAAGGAAAACCAAACAATAAATATAGTAACCAAACATAGTTGCAAGAATGACAGCTACTAAAAGAACTCAAAGTGAACTAAAAAGTATACCAACTTTGCAGGTAAAGAATGATTACTCGACAATGTCTTCACGCTTTAAACAAAATGTTGTCACATGAATATCTACAGCTGTTCACGTAGTGCAGTTGTTCGCTTTTTTAAGTACTTTTAGTTAATATTCTCTGAATTTTATTGTGAGGTACCGCAAAGGATATTACAAATTCTTCAGAGGCCGTGACAACAATGAAGAGAGAGCGTGGCCAAACGATTATGCGTATTTCTACTAAGTGTCGCGCGTTTGAGGAATACGATATTCTGCTTCGCGTGAAAGTTGTTTAGATTTTCATCGAGAGGATTTGTATTCCGCACTTTATTCGTTCTGTTCCCTGAGCACGAAAAATAAATAATTGTACCTATCTTGAAATTTGGTTTTCTTTGTTACTTTAACCTGTAAATACATTTTCATTTTACGCCTTGGGGATTCGCATTGTGTGTTTGCGGTTACGCTAAGTTGTGAGGAATATTAATCTTATTTAGAGTTACTTACATGTTTATTTTATAATATGGTGATTTTTTTCTTGTTATGTGAATAAGTTATATATATGTATGGCATATCCTTATATTTATATTCCTTGAACGTACGACAACATTGCTAGTGTAATATCTGTATAAGTTAAGTAATAAATTGGTTTTAATAGTCTCACTCCTTTAATAGCCGTAAGGGAAAGCTAGCTCTCATGTTTTAATTTAATCAATTAATCGGGACCCTCTGTACACTCCGATAGATTTGAAAGTTCATATTAAATTTGATAGGTCATTCTTTATGTTTGTAACACAAGTTGAGAAAAATCGAAATTGTAAGTAAATAGTCTTTCATTTACTCGTACATTTATCAGAAATAATTTGTTGAATAATAAATAATTCTAAATTTATATATTAATTCATCTTATTTCTATATTACTTTTATTTCCATACTCAAATCCAAACTTGTGAAAGACGAGAAGCTACGTCATCGGCTCGCAAAGGCCGAAAGAACCGGCAAGAAACTCAGTAAGGGCTGTTTCTTTCTCCCTGTATTATTTATTATATACAGAGTCGTCAAGTTAAAAAACGATTCAGAGATAATTCTAAAGTAACCTGCTATTAAATAATTTAGAATATAGCTATATACAAAAAGTTTTATTATGAGCTTTACATTTAGTAGGTATATAAGAAGCGGCTTCAGATACCACATTATTGTTATGGAAAATGTCCATTCATTACGATCATTAATATAATCATTATAACTTTATAATAGCTCTTACTCATAAGAGTATTCTTTATCTGATATTTAAATTTGGTCAGAGGAAGCTCAATCAAATCTTGGGGAAATTTATTAAACAGTGCAATACTACAATCCAAAAATGAACCTCTTGATTTTTGGAGTCTAATATGGAACGGCAAGCTTGTTCTTAAATCTCGTGTTAAAGTTATGTCTTTGACTTTTTTGCAAATGCATGATGCATTTTAGTTTTTTCTTACTATTATATTTTCATAACTGTATTTCGATGTCAGTGTTAAAATATTCATCTCTTAAAATTTTCTCTAAGAGAATCTCTTGCCTTCAAGTTGTATATGGCACAAACAGCTCTTTTTGCAGTATGAAAATACTTTCGATATTAGCAGCTGAGCCCCACAACAAAAGGCCATAATATGTCATAACGCTATGAAAGTAACCAAAGTAAACCAATCTTGCAGTTTCCACATCAGTTAAGAGTCTTACTTTTTTAGCAGCAAAATCTGCGGAGCTCGGTCTACTTGATAAGGCATCAATTAGAGGATGTTAAATTTATTGATGATGGTATCAATAAATATTCTATATAAATATGGAGATTTTTCAAACGTTTTTTGAGGTAATTTATTAGGACATCAATTGAATCAAAGTTCAGCTATAGAGATTAGAAAATTTACAAAAATATTTTCGTGAGTTCTATTGTTATAACTATAGAAGGTGATTAAAGTGAATATTATTAATTTACCATGTCTTTATTTACTCGAGACGTCATCTGTCCGTCAGTATCCATTTAATTTTTGTGTTCAGTCTGCATCGATGACAATAAGGAAAAGTTTATGAAAATATTACAAGGAAAACCTTTACCGGAAAATTGATTGATCATGATTTAGCTATAAAAAATTAGAAACTTTTTCAAATGTGCACACATTAGAACATTTTCCCCCCCTTGAAACTGGTGTCTTTCGTGGCTACGTCATCAGTTCTCTCAATCTTGCGTCATTTGTTTGGCTGTTTGCAACATGGCTTTTTCGCCTCTCGAGTGATAGTGTCGATATCTTATACGGTTGTCCTTACAGCCTGTTTTACCTTGCCTTCCCCGCACTAATCAATCTACCGTACAGTCTATTTCGGTTCCACTTTACAATGTGCCCGAAGACATTGAGAACTTGACAAGAATAATAGGGTGTCTTAGCTAAAAAATTTACTTGTCACGAAGTATAATTATAGCTTTAGAACAAAAAAATATTCATAATATAAACCATAATTTAGTCTTTTTAATATAACTCACTTTGCCAAATACCAAAGAATGGGAGCGAGGTGCAAGTAGTTAGCTATATACCTTCATACCGAACGTCACGATCTGGGTGTCGATTCTGCTACATTAAAGTAGCTAATAATAATACATCAATGGCGTTTCAGTTGCTTTAATTTTTGATACAGTGCTACTAAAACATAAAATAAAAATATATTTGCTTACTCGGTAGTTATTTGTTATTTTTTAGTTAAGTAACAAGAACAGTTGTTAATAAGCGATACTATTGAACCACTATTGAGACACGATTATAACGGGAGGTTAGCAGAATTGACACCCTGTGTGCTACGTTGTAGGTAAATAGGCTCTAGCTAGTTGTAGGTAATTAATTGCACATGTACAGTATAGGATCTTAAAATTATTTTAGCATGGTACATGACCCTGTCAGGGTGTTGCAAGTACAATATCTTTATCTACACAACTACTAAACAGTTTCAGTTTCAAACAAGTTAGTGAGCTTTCCGTGACGGTTTCACTTATCTTGCATAAATTTACAAACTCGACACAGGAGACTGGATACACGTGTATCTAGTCAGCGAAAGTCAAAATTAGTATCACTTGAACAAAACGGTATATTACGCACCTGGTCAAACTATTTTTTTTTACAGTCCGGAGGTTTCGAGCCCATTGAATTTGAATCCCAAAAAAATGTTCAATCAAAACCACCTAAAACAGTCTTAAAATTACAAAATTTATAGATTAAAAACCTTGCCAAAAGATCGCTGGAGGTATGTCATTCAGTTTTATTCAGCTCCTGTAAAATTTCATATTCTGTAATTATACCCTTTTGTGCGCCAGCTCCTCACTTATCTTAATATATATAAATCTCGTGTCACAATGTTTGTCCTCAATGGACTCCTAAACCACTTAACCGATTATAATAAAATTTGCACACCATGTGCAGTTCGATCCAACTTGAGAGATAGGATAGTTTAAATCTCAAATTTTAGTTGCAATTTTAATTTATTGCTAATTATTACTTTTGGGCGGTACGAAGTTCGCCGAGTCAGCTAGTAATTGTATAAAAAAGCAAACGTAAGTAAGATTAGGGTTTCCGATTTCTCGAATTTCTTGTCTTCTCCCTGTCTCTCTCTCGCGTCTTGAGGCTTTCAAAGAAGACATAATTTGCTTATAATAAGTAATACAATTTAAAATGTTTGATAAATCTCCAAATAATCAAAGAAAAAACTGCATTTATTTGAAAAAAGGAAACAAAAAACTTCTAATACTTAGTAATCAAATCTTAATACTCACAAGAATTGGGAACACTAAATATCTCTAGAAACAAAAAAAAATAGTATCTAGCTATTGCTCTAATGACAATATAACTAATAGAAACACAACTAAGGGTGGTACCACAATAACCCTTAGAGTTTATATTTAAAAATTTGCTACATGGAGGCATAATCTTTTTGAAATATCAAATAAAACTGTCTGAAGAAAATGAATAGGCTCTAATAATTTGTAATAGGTAATTTGTAAATAATTCCTAAGTAAGTAACTATTTCTTGTGGCTCTACTAATTTGTAAGGTGTGTGTCAGTAAAATAACAACTCGCAGTGAGCATGGACAATTTTACGCGGAAAAACCTAACTCGAAGCCCTACGTGAAACAGTCGGTTCGAACGGAGTTACAAATAAATGAAAGTTTTTAAGTACACAATACGCTACGAAACAACTGACAGTTGTGACAGAAAAATCTTACACTTTTTTCACCTAGCCGCGATCCGCCAAATCCGTACCGTCAGAAAAGGAACTTCGTTCCAATAAAACTATAGACAAAAAAAACTTAAAACTATATCTTCATACATAATAGGTAGAAACGAAAACTCAGGGTCGATGGTAAGGGTTCTATGTCTTTTTTATAGGCTTCTGAAGTAGTTTAAGGAGTTGTTTTAGCAACGATACCCACCTTAATGGTGCCATGGTAGTTATATAGGAGCAGAAGTGCGGGATAGCAGTGCAGGGACAGGTTCTGGGGAGCAGGTAGCGGTATGAAGTACGGTAGTAGCAGGACAGATGATGTAGGGAAGGATAGCAGATAATGTTTTAGCTGGAATGATAGGTGGTCCCTGCAAGTTCCATATGAATAGCTATTAGGGTGGTGTTTATTGTTCACCCTGACTGCATCCGCATGTGTGTTGTGTTGTGTTGTGTGTGTGTGTGTGTGTGTGTGTGTGTGTGTGTGTGTGTGTGTGTGTGTGTGTGTGGGTGGGTGGGTGGGTGTGTTTGTGGGTGTGTGGGTGTGTGTGTGTTGGTGTGTGTGTGTGTGTGTGTGTGTGTGTGTGTGTTTGTGTGTGGACCTCACAGATCTTTAGTCACTCAGCAAAAATTAAGAGAGTTTGACGGGAAGGTGATAATGCATCCGCCGTATAGTTCATACCTTGCACCTTCAGATTTCTACCTGTTTCGGTCTCTTCAGAATTCTTTCGGCAGTGTCAGGTTAACATCACGAGAGTACTGCAAAAACCACTTGTCGCGGTTTTTTGATTAGAAGACCTAAAATTTCTGTAGCAATGGGATCATGTCCCAACCTACAAGATGGCAAAAAGTTATCAAACAAAATGGCACCTACATACTTTAATTAAACGTGAATAAACTTATTAAAAAAAAAATTGAATTTCTATATAAAATTCAAATAAACTTTTTCCCAACCTAATATGTACTCAGATACACAGACGGAGGCAGGAAATTCCACTTCTTCGCTGTATGCATTATAAAAGTATTTGAGAAGCGTTTGGTGCAAAAGAGAAAGAGAAAGGATGGTACGTACTCCGGTAAGTACCTTATAAGCGTTCGTGATACAACGCCACAAATTTGGATTATACAACTGTCAATGTGAGTCAGTCAGGGTTGATTACATACATAAAATGATATTCACGTAAAATCAGTAAATTCACAAAATACAGAAACTATTAAATTATAACATTATCGTAATAATACGGTAGTAAATTATTGCTAATCCTAAAACGTTCAAATTGTGGACTACATGAATCTGTATGTATGTTTATGAAAGGTTTTGATAAAATTATTTACATACTTATCCGATTACGGGGATTTAAGCTTAAACGTACTATTAATTAAGATAAAGAAATATAGATTTAATTCAGAAAATTAATAATTATAAATAGCAGTCTGTAGTGCAGCCTCTACAAAATTCCAAGGCGAAAGCTGCCCAATGCCCGATTCTTAATTTAAAAATTCGCATTTTGGCGCGCGATGGCCATGCATGGCCTACTCGATTACGGAGCGGCGCGTTTGGATAGTATCATCACGTACAGCCTTTAAGCACGTTTTGTTAACAGTGTATCTTTAAATTTCTTTATATTCTAGTGAAGGTCACGCAGTTCGTGACAAGTGTTGTCGTTTTTTTGATGTAGGATACTTATTTTGAACGAGTTTAAAGGAAAAATTTTATAGAATTCAACCAATGTTATAATTGAATTAGTAATTTATCATATGAGGAGCTGGTATACAAAACGGTATAATTACATAAAATTAAATTTAACAAGAGCAGTAAAAACTGAATAACAGTGACGTTTTGGAAGTTCTGGTGTGGTTTTTAATTTATTAATTTTAACAATGTTTTAGGCGGTTTTGATTGTAAATCAGTTGAGATTCAGCGGACCCAAAACCTCCTGACTGAAAAAAAGGATTTTGACCAGATGCGTAACTATACCGTTTTGTTCGCCAGCTCCTCATATGTAATAGGAAGTTCAGTCTAATTCATTTAAAAACAAAACAGCCATAACAGTAAAAAAAAAATACTGTTAACATCTTCGACATGTATTTAATTTCATAACATTTCAGTTAAGTAACAAGCGGAAAAATTATGGAAAATTACCTGAAATCTTCCGAAGTCATGCCGGAGATGGTGGTTTGGTTGGCGTTTTGGTTCCACATGAGGGCCTCCGTGGTCAGGTGGCCTTCGGCGGCTTCCCGCATCTGCTCGACCGTACAGTCGATACCTTCCCTCTCTAAATTAGTCTCGAACCAGTTGTCTTCGTACCAACCTGGGGACAAACGAAACATTTAATTTTATCCTACGTAAAATAAAAACATAACTATAATTGCTATTTCTTCTTTCAAATGTTTAATACTTGTAAAAGTATTTATTTGACATTGTGGGGTACCTACAATTCAACGAGGTAGCGCTGCCTTGCAGCCTAAAGCAAGAGAAAAATTCGACACGGCCGTCAGGGCCACGGTAGCGTAATGGTAAGTTCATTTGCCCGGATAGCGAGTTTGAATCCCGTCTGCTAGCTGGTCCGCGTGGTTTTTTTCTCTCTTGTAACTAGTGGTATCGATATTTTTCACTACCAGTCCAACAATGGAACCTTATCAAATGGCATGGGGGGAAGAGCATCTTTCTTAAAGATAACTCATATACACACACGATTTAATATCGTAAGTAACGTTGTTGCTAAACAAAAAAAACACAACACAGAAGTATCAATGAATACGTTTTTATCAACTAGAAAATCAAGTTTCTCTTCGTAACTAAATATTTTGACTTGAAATTTAGTGAGAGTACTCCTAAAAATAAATAGCTAATTCTCCGAAAATTAACCGCTGCCAATCTGGTAATAAGTCCTGATTTAGAACTTCTATATCCAGCGATAACACTTGAGACTAGAAAATTGAAGTTTCTCTTTATGATGTAGGTACAAACAGCCGCCCGCGACTTCGTTCGCGTTAACAGTTTTTTGAGAATCCCACGGGAACTCAATTTTTTCCGGGATAAAAATATCCTATGTCGCAATTCGGGTCATTGGCTTTATGCGTAGCAAATTTAATCCAAATAGTTTTAGTATTAATTATCAAAAATACAAATACACAAACTTTCTATCTACAATATTCGTAGGATAATATAATAAGGTAGGATATTATAAAACACAACCCATAAAGAAGTTAAAAGGGGTTTTAAGTTTGTACGGCGAAATAATTCTATTATGTTACAAGAATGTGAAAGTTTATATGTTTGGATGTTTGTTAAAACTTTTTCTGTAGAATAACCTAGGTATTTTTAGATGGCGTGTCCATTTAAAATTTGATACTAGAATTAAGTGTTTTTTTTTCTGCAGCCAACTCAAAAATTAGAACGGTCTAAGTTATGGGTATGCCCGACTAGACCGACCGGCTGACCAGCAACTGGTCTATTCCATTATAATCACCTGGGTGATATCACCGGGGTTATCATAGGCGACTCTTTAGTGTCCTTTGATCATCCTCGAATATAAATATTGCCAACACTCAGACCAATTAGCCTAGCCCCAAAGTAAGCACTATAAGGCTTGTGTTAAGCGATACTAGGGTAACGGATAGAATAGATATACTATACATACATAAGTATATTTTTATAGAAAAACATATTAAACATCCATGACTGGAGTACAAAATGCTCGTATTCATCACACAAACATCTGCCCCCACCGGGATTTGAAACCGGGATCTCTCGAGTCGGCGACACCATGAAACCCGGCGTACAAACCACTCGGCCACGGAGGTCGTCAAATATAATCACCTGGCTGTGCGATCATAGGTGACACGCAGGTATTACACCCATTCTTGGGATGCTATAGCTGGAAATGATACCCAATAGTGACAAGGGCTTCATATCCAATAGTGACAAGGACAGCACGGTCAATGAAAGCATTAACAACCAAATTATTTGAATTTTACAGAAATCCTGTTTCTTTCTTTCTTCATGTTTCACGCTATCTTTGACGAGTTTTTAATTAGTACCTTATTGTACCAGTGAACAAAAAAAAAGTGATATCAGTATATTATACATAGTAAAAAATATATACAGGAACAATGAACCTTAAACTAAAAACCTTAAAAAATATAATATAATAACTAAAATATATTACTAAAAGGAGTCCCTTTAGGCAAGGTTTTGAAGATACTGGCAGCGTTCCCCCTTTGAATAGCTAGACTAATTCGTTGTCCGATGTAGCTGCCAGCTCTTCGGTCTCCAGTGATGTCGACTAACCTTTTTGATATTTCCTTAAAAAACCTCATAGCGCTAGGACCCCACGGACCAAGGGTCTCGACACCGAATGGGACAAAATCATATTCGGATCCTAGGCCCCTGTATTTGCATGCTTTGGCTTTTTCAGCCGCTTCACAAGCCGCACCAGCTCTGTTGTTGGTTCCATGTAGATGGGAAGGGGCCAGCGTGTCTGAACAGGTTGCATCCCATACCAGTACCCGGCCCATCTTCCATGGAATTAAACTCATACCTTATTTGCATTTTACGGTTTAAATGAAAGAGAAATGTTTTAAGGCAATTAAAAAAAATAAAGTTGCGTTATTAATATGTATTTATTGAAGTGAAAACTTCTGTAGAGGCGTTGTACACTTTTTTGTAACGTTCACGTCCACGTGGCAGCTTTATTGCGAAGAAAATGCATTTTGCTAGGTGCGCTTAAATGTGATTCACGTAAGTTGATTTCTTTACAATAGATGTCGCTAGGTGCGCTTAAATGTGATTCATGTAAGTTGATTTTTCTGAGAGATAACATTTTTAATGTAATATAAATTGTCATGTTTGTGTACGATAGCTGAATAAATAAATATTGTATCCTCCCACATCTATATTAGCACTTTAATACTGATAATTAAAGCAATTCGTGCAAAAATATTCCCTAACCATTCCAAAATATCAAAAATGCACAACGTTAGCATTGAAGTGCAACCCGTCGTTTTTTGAAGGTGATTTGAGGATACCAAAATAATAAATTTGTTGGGGTTGCCTATGAACACCCAGGTGATTATATGATATGATGAACGACACTAAATATTCGTCAAAGATGACCCAGGTGATCATAGTGGAATAGACCGATCAGTGGTCAGGGGTCGGTCCTATAGAAAGTTGTTATCTGTAAATATTGGTAAGCAAAATATAAATAACACGGCTGAATTATAGAAAATGGGTACAAACTGAAGAAATCTAATGATAAACTTAATTAAATAAGCATCACGATTCAATCAGAAACCACAATTCGTTATAAAGTGCGGTTATCTTACGACAGTAGCCGGAATTGGTTCATTATTTTTGACATTTCAATCCCTCAAACCGAAATCATTATATCAGACTACCTCAGCTATTATTTTATTACCAATCTACAAATCTGAAATAAACGGGTGAATTTAATTTGCATAATAACTTTCCACAAAATAATATCATTATACAAATCATTAATGCAATTCGTAAATTTATCGTTTGACAAAACCAAATCCCATCATTTAGAAAATCATTAAAATCATCCGATAATACTTTGATACAATATTTCAAATTGTTGTAGGTACAATTTCACGTTCAGAGAAAATGAATTTACTAATGTTGTATTATTGCAGATTTGACATTTCTTAAGATAACACTTAATATCATATTTTTTATTTGAAGCAATTTATCGTTAGATTTTTACCTTTAAAGAACATTTTACCTGATACCTTGGATAAGTATTCTTTTAGCAAAGTTGTTTTAACTCATTTTATACAGCATTTGAAGAGAATTTCAATTAGCCTAGCCTGTCCTTCCCTTACAGGTGCAACTATAGGTAGACCGGGCGTCGGGCACTAACAATTTTGACAAGAATGTGCCTGCCGCCCGCAACTCTTACGGTCCCCGTTTTCGTCCTCGCCCACACCCTGTACCTCGCAGGCGAGGTCTCAGTTAAGCGGTTTAACTATAATTAAATGACAAGTACAGAAGAGAGCTTAACTAATCTAATAACATCGAAAAAATATTAAATGTTGGTGTATACAGATCTCATAGCGGAGATCGGGAGACATCTAGGCTCTTCGATCATCTAAGTGAGGCGGCCGATGAAGCTCAGCTTAGGTATCCAACTGCTCACATCGTTTTTCTGGGTCACTTATCATCACTTAGTACAAATACGACTACAATATTTCAAAATAATACCTGTTGATAAATATCAGACATTATAAGATCCGATAATATTAAGAGAGGTAGGGCATCAGCTCAAATTGGAGCGGCTGTCTGGTGGTGTTGTGTTTCTGTCGGTTAGTAAGGTTCCAGGGCTCCACGAGGGTCAGGGTAAGCAACGATGTTTGATATAGCAAGCGTCTAAAGGCAATGGGGCCGCTTACCACCAGGAGGGCCATGCCTGTTTGTCATACTTTTAACATAAAAAAACATAGGAAAGGAAAGTCTAGTTGCTGAGAAAGTATAATATATTAAAGACTAGACAGTGTAGGTAATATTAAGATCCCATGTAAAGCATTTATTTGTAATGAGATGTGTAATTGTGTTTACGTCTATTGGCAATGTTTCTGCTTTGCAAAAATATTTTTCTGTATCTGGCCGAGCTTCGCAGTTAGCTATTATTTATCCTGATCCTATCCATTTCCGTTGTTCTGTTTGTCGGGAGAGCTCGGGGACAAAATGTGTGCTTGCCGTGTCTCCGTTTTGCTTGCGGCCGAGTACTTGCGTTAAATTCAAGAGTAATATTTGTCTTTGTATTAAGTGGCAATAAAACTTTCTTAAAAATTGTTCTGCTCTGACAGACAGCCCGAATTGGAATATTTGCTATAGCTCTGTTGTAATTTCGAAACGATTACGAGACACAAACTTTTTGGGATTCAAATTGGAAAGTTAAATTGTGCTTTTATTTATTCGAAAGCGATGGTATTGGAACAAACGACATTATGTTTCTCAATATTTGATAAAACGAGTTCGTAGTTCGCTCAAGAATGCTTGAAGGACTTTAAAGAAGCGCAATAACCAATGAAATATTATGAAATGAACACAATGACATACTATAATGTTGCTAAAAGTCTTTTTTTAGGATTCCGTAGTCTTAACAAGGAACCCTTTTAGTTTCGTCGTGTCCGTCTGTCTGTCCGTCCCCGGTTTTGCTTGGAGACTGTTGGTATTTGAAAGCTGTAATTTTGTGGAGATATGTATTTCAATCACGCCGAAAAAATAGTACAATAAAATTTTGAAAAAAAATTTTTCGGGGTAGCTCGTCACATGTAAAGTATT